TCATTTTTCAAATGATAATAAACAAAACATTTGCATAAAGCACATTTGTTCCACTCATATGTTGATAAGAGTATTAAAAACTTGAAAAATATCCCTCTAAGGTACATTTAGAACAGATAAAAAATGTGCGATTAATCACGATTACATATTTTAATCGACTGACAGCCCTAGTAAATATACATATATACACTGTATATCATCCATTCCTCCCCTTATAGGCGTTTTCGGCATCTTGCCTATCACAGCTTTGTAAGCTGCTGCCGGGGCTTTTTAGGACGAGGCATCAGAGTGGTCATCCCGTGTGTGTGTTGTCCGCCAGATACGCCAGGAGTTTCCTGATCTGGCTGGACGAAATCAAATGCAATGCATTTGATTTCGTCCAGCCAGATCAGGAAACTCCTGGCGTATCTGGCGGACAACACACACACGGGATGACCACTCTGATGCCTCGTCCTAAAAAGCCNCGGAGTTTCGCCAGCACACTCAGCCGCAGCTGTGTGGATCTCCACTCACAGTTCGCCACACACTCACGTGTGTGTGCTCAGGCTGAGTTCGGGCTGAGTTTCGCCGTGTCTCGCTTTCTCGCAGACCCCAAGCAGCAACCAGGAAACGACACCAGTAATCCAGCTCACACTGTCGGCTCCTCGAGTCTCCAAGGGCGGAGCAGCGAGCTCTGCAACGTCTCGCCAACACGGCACCCAAACCCCACGCAGCATTCTCATCTGTTTCTCATTTCTGGTTGCTAACAAACGCCATTGTAACACATAATCACACATCAGAGCACAGTGGGCTCATAGGGAAGGGGGGGGGGAGGAGCTCCAACAAGGCGTGTAGGACAGAGAGTGAATACACATACTATACAGAGATGCTGTATGAGAAACCAATGTGAGTTTGGAACATTGAACAATGTAAATCTATTCTAGTAGACCTCAACAATGGAATTATGATCAGTAGCCATGACATGGGACCTTTAGATTTAGAAAATGAGTCTGACTCAAATCTCTCTTTTTCTACCTTTTTTGGAATAGATGCATTATTTAACATTAGTAGAGTCGTGGGCATACTGCACGAAAGGCATTGAAGAAGTGATTGTATTGTGCATTTCCCACACTGCAGTCATTGCTGGTATGGCTCTGTGCTGTTTCCATTAACCTCCACACAGTTCTCCTGCCCTCTTTCAGATAAGCTCTGCGCCGTTCCCTTTATCTGTCTGAGTAGGTGAAGGTCACAGTCTGCGTTTGTGAGTGACAAGAGAGAGTGACCGTGACATTTCTGTTTCCCACACTTTAAGCATTTGGCAGTCTCTTATCTATCCTGACACAAACTGTGACAGTGGGAGAGATTTCTCAAATGTCAGCATTTGACTGAAACCCAAAGAAAATACACCCATTTTATAAAATACTCCCTACACTGTTCATATTATGGATAAGGGCTAAGAGCAGAGAGGTGACCTGGAAGATGTTTAGTTCAGTTTGTCCTCAACGTTGATACATATAACTTCATAAAGCAAGTTTCTGTCTGCATTAGTTTGCTCTGCTGATGTGTGTGGAGGACATTCTTAAGAGAAACTGATAAATAATTTGTGGACAAAGTTTGTCTTTTGTTATATTTAATAAAGTAATAAAGAAAATCAATAAACAAGTGAAATCCCGAATGTAGGAACAGAGCTACTTCCTCCTCAGAGGATAGAGAAGTTCTGCACCCAGAACACAGCGTACAGTCACGCTATATAGTAATGAGAATAGCCAACTGGTCCCACCCTTAAATTCCCTTAGGCATCATCTAAACATCCCCACCATTAAACCATAAAACCCCTCGTCCTTAACCATTTGCATATCCCCCTTTTTACACTTCCTTTTGCCCTCCTGCAATGTCAACCCTCAACATACAGTATGTCTCTGTTAAACACATAAGACTACAAATACAATCTAACAGTGTAAAAGGCAATCAGAGTATAAGACTATATGTTTTAAATGATTATACGATCATTTGACACGACAATGTGTAATGTACCTGATTTTGGGCGAGGGGAGGGTCGTGTTTGTAGGCCAGGCCAGCCTTGATGAGCGCCGTCAACGCCTCGGCCCCCCACTCTCTCATCCTGGAGTTTGTGTGCTGGCAGACCTGCAGGACACAACACAAAGACACACAAATGCAGACACATGCGCACATTGATAGATTTGATGCAGAGAACAGTGTTTTACCCAGCAGTGGGTGAGGGTGAAACAATTGGGCGACATACTGTGCAGCAGGGTCTGTGTGGTAAAGACTGGGATCCCCTGTGATCACAAGATATGCTGTGGCAGATTTATATAGATACACATGGAGAGGCCAGACTCACTAGAGAAAGGTACACAAATGTAATATCAAAACTATTTTCTTTTTAAGATTTTAACTTCATCTGTGATCCAAATGAATCATCTTTGCTGTATAGGGAGGTTTACTTTTATACAGAGTTCATACACTTTTTCACCAATGATTTTCCATGACTTCTCCAGGACCTTTATCTAATTTTCCATGACCAAAAAAATTACTCTTTCTCAGCGGTATCACTGAAAATGGTTTATTTTAACATGGAACAGGGAAATAAGGTCTGCATATGAAACATGTTGTGCCTGTCTAAAAGTAGGCTTACTAGCTTCTACAGGCTAAGGCAACTCAAATCTCTCACCAGCAAAATACCACAGTCAGTTAAATGCCATTTTACGTTTCATTACTATACCATACAGTATTTATTAAAGTTATAGTATTACTATTTCGGCGATTAGATAAAATATAAATTATATTTGATGCAACTTTAGTTAAATTTCCATGACTTTTCAAAAACTTGGGGAAAAATATTGTTTTCCATAACTTTTCCAGGGCCTGGAATCAGCATTTTGAATTTCCATGACTTTCCAGGTTTTGAATGACCGTAAGAACCCTAGTTTATAGCATCAGACTTACAATTCCTAAGAGAATCAAATCTCTGTTTTGCTTAGGGGAACAAAGACAGACTGTTAAGTACCTGTTCCCCTGCAGAGTCTAGATGGCCCATGTGTATCTATGATTGCATTCTAATCTTTAGTATACATCTTTTAATCAAGACACAATAAACCTGATATCATTTTCACATTTCAATTCAAATATAGAAGCTGCATTTGAATTTGAAGTCTGCAAAGAAAGATAGGCAGCGTTTTATCGGAGCATTAAGAACATACTGGCAGGAGCTGCGTCAGATTCAGAGTCTGTGACAAATCAGAGCTTCACGTTGGAAATTGCGCACAAGAATGCAAGGTCAAACACAGGAAGCGGAGCAAATGCACTGTGGACACATGTCGACTCCAACGTGTGGAAGCCAGACTGAGAGGAAATATCGGGGAAAAAGGAGATTGGAAAGCCAAAGATTATAGAGGAGGGAATCTCAGCTTACCTTCTGCAAAACAGACAGGAGTGCAAAAAAGAGAGGGGAGATAGACAGAGTAAATGTGAAGAAAACCTCTTAACACCTTTCCACACATAACAATGAGATTCCACAGATTTGAAGACGTGTGCCAATACCCACAGTGAGTAGTGAAATGTAAACTCAAGTTAAATCCACTTCTATGAATAACACTTTACAAACAACACGGTTGACTCCATATGTTTTAAATCCAAATTTGTGTCCAATATATTCTTACATTAAAAAAGCAAGTTGATTTGAAAGCATTCTGTACTCATGTTGCTTCATCAGGGAAAATACGCATGGGGCTCTCTTTCCCTCCTTTCTTAGATATTCCTGTGCCACAAACAAAAAGCTATGTCCCATGTACTGTCTCAAATATGCTGCGAATAATATTCCTTTATTATTTGAATTTCCAAAATCAGAGATATGCTCTAACAAAAATTAGCTCAACTTGGTACTGCCTTAAAACAGATGTGTAGACACAAAGAGAAAAAGCATCATTTTACATACACTGGACATTATTCAGCCCATCCCTCTGATTTGATCAAACTCTGGATTACTTTTTACAAACTGTCAGCCCCTCTCTAGCTCATTAAACTAGTTTTCTCCTTCGTGACTGTACCCCGCCACACGTGTGCCCCAGACTCCATGGAAAAACGTTCATTATTAGAGCTTTGGTCCCGGGTAAGTGACCAACCGGGTAGAAGGGGGCAATTTTGACATTCTTTTAGGTTTTAGCTTCCATTTTTATTATAGAGTTTGGCTCCAAATTACAGTGACATCATCATCACTGGAAAAAGTGACAATCACTGTTACCAAATGTACACAAACTGCTTACTGGACAAATTCCTTCTGCGCTTATTTGACCAATGGAAATGAAGTCGGATCAAAGTGTAACCGGTCAAATAAACACAGCTATTTCTGTACGAGGTCTGTTGACATCATTTCAACAGATTTATGAAACTAGGTCTTAACAGGGTTTTAATACACTGTGTTGACATAGGCTCTGCACATTATGGGATGTAGCTGTAAATAAATGTTACCTCCAACAGGTGGCCGGTGAGGGGTCTCCACAGGATCTCTATACGATCCATGTTGACCAGGCCGGTCTCCAGCAGCTTGGCCACAGCAAACAGAGAGGGCTCCTGGAACAAAGAAAATAGAAACCATTTATAAAGACTTCTCACATTATACCCTGAGCTTACTGATCAAAGGCATAGGAACGGATACCTATGATAGAGAGGCAAGACAACATCCATTTCTTGTACAATTGTATGAAGAAGTGTTATTCTTAGCCTACAGTTGATATTTTAACCAAAACAAAAAAATGACATATCCAAAACATCCACCAACCAAGTTATAGAGTAAAACATTATAGAAATATTGACCTTGTTGTTTCCAGAAGCCATTTCCATCGCCTCCAGTGAGAGGGAACACAGAGCGTTGATAAGGTGATGAAGGGACACATCATCCAGGTACCTAATCACATAATAAAAACACATAATGCTTTTTAATTGTTTCATTTCATAGACACAAAAAAACATATGTATGTCCTTTTGGTTATTATTAGTTCTAAGCAAAAAATGTAGCCATATTGACCGTTAGCAGCATATATTGGACAAGTAATTTGAGTTAATGTACGGTAATTGTATTTCATTGAAGTTTACTCACTGAGAGCTCTCAAACAGTCTGGACAGGATGTTGGCGATGAAGGGCAGGTCTGTCATCACGGCTGTGGTTAGCACCTTCAGTTTAATGACACACACACACACAGCCAGTTAGATCACAACCTTTAACAACGAGGTGGAAAACAAACAGTGTCATGCAGACCAAACACACACTCCCTAAAAAGACTCACTGTGCTGGGTCCCTCCACAGCTCGGCCAGGCTTCAGGACCCCGCCCGGCCCCGGCTTCAGACCCAGGATCCACACTAAGTGCTGGGAGAGAAGTGAGAAGGTGAATTAGAGTTGAAAAGAGGAGAAACTACACTTACATTCACAGATAAGGTCATTAAATGTACACAGACATACTTGAAGACACATGTATTAAAATCAAATGTTCAACCTAAATAAGAAGAAATGGAAATTATTCAATTAAACTCTACATCATCTCCCGTTACTAAAAAAGCACAAAAAAAAGACATATTTTTATAGTTTAGTCTATAAGATGTATTCTTAGCAGGTCATGTGTTTTCTAATAGGAAGAGCAAGCAAACATTTATGCATGTTCAAATGTAAATATGCTTTATTAGAGAAGTGGGGGAATTGTAAATGCACGTATGTGTGTGAGAGGGAGGGAGAGAACGTGGACTGTCTTGTCTGATTAGAAAAGCGTGTGTGTGCGCATGTGCGTGTGCGTGTTCGTGTGCGTGTGTGTGGTTGGTTAGGTGTTAACGTGTGGTATGAGGTGGTAGAAGTACCTGCAGTGTAGCCAGCACCAGCTGCCAGGAGGTGCCCAGCACGGCCCCGTGGCAGTGGGCCAGGTTCAGCAGGGTCCGCATGCACTGCAGGTTCTTTGAAGTGAGCTGACAGAGGGACAGACAGTCATATTATAGCAGATTGTAATACGCGTCGTCATGGCGTTAGCTTAATCACACTAAGAGAAATAGCAGAAGAAACTCAAACGTAAGGTATTACTAAAACTCAAATCTGTAAGTACCATAAAAGAAACACAGCCATCCGACTATGGTAACAAAAGAAAGTGGGACGCACACATAGTAATGTAAGAGCTTTGACCATAAATACAATAAAAAAAACCTCCTAGTTTTATTATTACCATGGGGATATCTCTAATTACAGCATATTGGTTTCAGGTTAGGGTCAAGGTTACTGCTCATGTATGTTCAAATGTTATTTCCCTCAAGGGAAATTTGATGCACATACTTGCCTGATCTGCCTATGTTCTTAACAGTTGTCCCTTACCTGAACTATTAACAGTTTAATGTGGCCGTTGCTACACATCAGACGTTGTATATAATAAATAATGAAACTTTGATACTCAGGACTCCCTTATCAGGGAATGTATCTTCCCAAACAGTTTGCTTTGTTTTTGCAGCTGTTAATATTTTTCTGAAAAAGTGTTGTATAATTTGTCTGGTTATATAAAATGGTCGCAAGCTTTATTCAATTATAATAATACTTAGTGTAACCATAGCCTCTTCGTAATTGTGTTTGTTTTTCCTTACCACCACAGTGCCCTGGGGCTGGGAGGCGAGGGGCTGCCCGACAGCCACCACCTGCTGATGAGATTCACTGGAGGGACTGATGATCTGCACAGTCTGGCCCAGGATGGAGTACGCTGTGGAGAAGACACGCAGACATGTGGAAACACACACAGGAGGTCTTGCCATGAGAGTCAGTAATGCACACAAACATGTTTTGTAACAAGCTCACGACATGCAAGAAAAGCTTTCCTAATTAACTCCAAAGCATCGTTATTTGAGACCCAATTTTCCGACTTTATCTCTACAAGCTAATATGCAAATACCGTCTGAGTGTCTGAGCGGTTGGTGTGAGAGCAGCTGTGTGAGTGTACGTCTACATTCCCCAGACACGTTACTAATTAGAGCCCGCAGTTAAAAAAGTTATGGATTAATGCAATAAGAGCGGGGCAACAGGGACCGGCGGCAGACTGCCATCATTTCACATGTTAAGCTCAGTTTAGCAGCATGCGCGTCTCACCGTATGGGAGATGAGAAAAGCTCATTAGAGTAACAAACACACATGACCAGAGGACATCCTCAGGGTCGGAAAGGGGACTTTAGGATGTGTGTGGTACAATTAAGCAAATCAGGAATACAAACGTGCATACCAGTCCCAAATGGTTTGCAGTGTTATCAAGGTAATTCAGGTATGTTTGTGTACAGGCAATTAGCAATGAAAGCCAGGGTCTACTTGGTGTTCTATGTAGTTTTGGATGGTTTAATAAGGAAAGATATTTACATTTGCCGGTGAGGCTGGCGGTGTTGCTGTTCAGGACAGTCAGGGTGTAGTGTGGCGGCAGAGAGGCCTTGCAGATGGCGGTGATGAAGGCGTCGCGGGGCGTCACCAGGCCCAGGCGCCCACACAGCGAGGCCACCGTCAGCTCTGCCTTCAGGATGTTCTCTGTGGCCGTCTCATCAGTGCTGACAGGACGGGACAGGAGGAGACAGAAATGCAGACGAAGTGAAAAATGTGTGCTGTTAAAAGCTGTTCTGTTATGTGTTTGCATGTAATGGATACAATTCCATCAAGGGAAGAGGTTGCGCTAGACTTTTTTGCTGCCCGTCATTTTGACAGACAGGATCGTAACATTTCCGTCAAAATCCAGAATTACCCGTTGGCCTTTACACAACCCTGACGAGGGGGGGGGGGAGAGCATGCTCGTTAACTGTCAACGGGGGGAAGAAAATATTCGGTTAACGCATCCTCTGATCAAGGGTGATTGCAATGATTGAATTTGTTATAAGAGGACGACACCTCTGGAGAATAGAAGCAGTAAGTGTGTGATGCAGTAAGACTAAAGCATGCTTGGCTTGAAGAGTACTTAGCATTCAAGTTGCTTGTAAAAATGCGAGTATCTGACTAAAACCACTACGGAACAGCCTATAAGACTGTTTCCTCTGAATTGCATTGCTAAAAATAACTTTCAAATACTGCACAAAGAAATCAATGTGTCCATGTTTGTTTTAAACTAAGCACACAAATGAATGGTTTCTTTTTCCGTATATTGAGGTTTTCCTAAGAGACATTTCATTATTTCCCTTTGGTTCCCAAGTGGACATACGCTATGACTTTAATAAAGCAGTTTGGTCAGAAACAGAGAGTAGAGAGTCCAGTTACCTGGCGTCTAGCAGCAGAGACAGAGCAGCGAGGAGACCGCACCAGCAGGCGCTGACCATCTCCTCCCACACCTGATGGGCTCCTGCGACAAAAACACAAAGCATGTGTGAGTTTAACAGTATTCCTAAAATATGTAATATGACCTTAAAAATGTTTGATTATCTTTTAAAATGATGTTATGGTTGATTGTATTGTGAACTGTATTTTAACTTCTATGACTTTTCTGGTATTATGTTGCCTTTGAAGGTGACTTTGAAGAGTCCTACCTTGAGACTTGAAATATTATTGTTTTGTTACTGAGCTTCTTTATTATGGAGTTTGTAGTTATTTTTAAATGTCAGATGTTGATTCCTCTATTTTCTACCCGCCTGCTTCAACTAACTCTGCTTTCTTGTAGCTTGTCTGTATGAATTCTCTGTTTTAAAATTGAATAACTTGAAGAAAAAATATAGAATCCAGAACTCATTTACAGTCCATTATCACCTGGGAAAAGAAACATGCCTCCATTTTGATCTCTTATTGGAAAAGAAGACATACTGGCCACCAGGGGTCATGGAAGTGCTTCCACCCACAATCCCCTTGGGTTTGGCCATGACGCAGTAAAACATTCTCACCGGGTTGTGGCTGCCACTGCTGACCAGGATGAGTTTCCCTGAACTCAGCAGCGGTCCCCTCCTCCACGGCCAGCTCCCTCTCGATCATGGAGGTGATGCCCCTCACCAGGTCCAGCAGGGCGCTGAAGGCCACCGACATGGCGTAGCCCTCGGGGATCGACGGGGGCTCCACCTTGTCCAGCATCTCCAGACTAGACGGAGCAAATTAGATAAAGATCATATCCTGAACTCAATACTGTCTAGAAGTCTTTCCGTAAATGTAAATGTTTGCATGTTCAAGCAAGGTAGGGCATATTTGAATATATTGCACCTTGTAATTAGAGGCAGTGCAAGGTGACTCAATAATATAATGTGCATATCAACTGTTGTATATAAAGTTTGACAATACACAGGAAGCAAAAATACATAAAAGTATACATTTTTCTTTGAGGGTCATATCATGGCATAACGCCTCCCTATACACAAACTACTTTTAACATCAATTAACATCAGTTATCCTGAGTATTCAGACTTCTTATTACCATGCACCTTACATCCCAAAACTGCACATATTTTATTTTTCAGAATACTATGCCCTATAATACTGTGCTTAGTCTCTGTATTGGTCCTTTTCTTACAATGTATCTTCTCTAACTGTGTTTATTTATGCAAAATACACCCCAAAGCAAATTCCTTGTAAACCTACTTGACAATAAACTTGTTTCTGATTCTTCTGTTCTGATTCGTCTGTGCATAAGCCCAAACAAATGTTACAAAAAGGTGTGTGCCTTACTCTCCCTCATACTAAGAAACAGCCTCAAAAAACCACCAGCAAGAATCCTAATTACAGCAAATAGACACCAATTTAGACTCTCTTTGCGACAGGAAGGCCTCTGGCTAATGCAATTCCCGGTATTACCCTACAAACACCGATGGCGCACAACAAAAGCATTTCAACTCCTCAAGCAGGTTTAAGCCTTTGATCTCTGCCCTACACTGATCCCCTGTTGTTTAACACGGAATCGTTTATCACCGCTTGCAGGATACAGCTAATTTAATAGAGATGGTACAGGCTTTAGGCAGAACCAAGATAGTTTCCCTACGCTTGTTCTCTGCAAGGAATTACATTTGTGTACATGTGAATGGAAAGAGATAAAGGGAGTCAGAAAGGTGAACTTCTTGAGTCTTTGTAGAAACAGTACTTACTAGGTGGCTTTGGCGCTGCCCTGGACGCTAACAGTCATGAGTGGGATCCAGGTGCCGCGGTATTCAAACGCAGCCTGCGTGGTCTGGTTGCTGTTGATCCCTCCTGGGCCCATACCCCCCTGTGATGAACCCTGGGCCCCCGAACCTGAGCCCCCTCGAGAGAAAGACAACAGGGAATAAAGGAAAAGAGATATACGAGGACACTTGCTACCAAATATCCATGACATTCCCATGATAACTTGTACATCATGTGTATTGATTTAAATGTTACTTTCTGAAGTTATTTGTTTAAGAATTCATGTACAATGCCTCTTAATCTGACTTACAGGTTTAATTGAAACATCTACAGACCTTAATCGACACAAAGAAAAGTTGTGTGTTGTCTTTCCTATGTCTCCACGCTCAAGGAACCACATTTGTTGAATAAAATACTTTACCACAGCCTTCCAGAGCTCAAAACGAGGGTTTAGTTAGTCTTAAAAATCAGTGTACTGACCAGCAGGTGCGCTAAGAGCAGCGTTGTTGCCCAGGTTAGGGAGGATGAAGAGGGACTGGATGAAGGATCCTAGAGCGTTGACGATGTCTCTGAAAACCTTCGTGGAGTGCTGCTTCATGTCGTATGACTGGCAGAAGGAACTGTAACGACACAGAACACAACATGAGTGATGGGATAAAGAAAATGGCCATTTGGGTGCTGATGGTGCATTATTACACCGTCACCGCTCTGCTCTATTTTTTCAGACTTTGCTCAACTTTCGTGACTTAGCTTGCCATCAGGTTTGCGCTTTGTCAGCCCCAGCACTGCATAGTAGCTGTTAGCATGCTAACGCTACATGTTACATATTGTCTTGTCTTTGTCTTTATTAGGATCCCCATTAGCACTAGCATGAGCATTGGCTATTCTTCCTGGGGTCCTCACACACTCAAAACATACATAAACATACATACAACAAAATTAAAACAAAACAAAACAGCTCATAATTGCATGAAATTTACAGTGAAATTAAGTGAAAACTAAAATGGTCATCCAATTATCGCCATCCTAAGGCCAAACAAAAGTAAATACAAATAAGTTTACATCATAATATATGCATACATAGCCACAGGCACAGTTCAAATGTACTTTATAATACTTAAATAATTTTTTAACATTCGTATTGTCTTGTCTTTATTTGTCTTTATTAGGATCCCCATTAGCACTAGCATGAGCATTGGCTATTCTTCCTGGGGTCCTCACACACTCAAAACATATATAAACATACATACAACAAAATTAAAACAAAACAAAACAGCTCATAATTGCATGCAATTTACAGTGAAATGAAGTGAAAACTAAAATGGTCATCCAATTATCGCCATCCTAAGGCCAAACAAAAGTAAATACAAATAAGTTTACATCATAATATATGCATACATAGCCACAGGCACAGTTCAAATTTACTTTATAATACTTAAATAATTTTTTAAGCAACCTTTTGAAATGTACTTGAGAATGTTCCTGAATGATGTGAACCGGTAAAGAGTTCCAGCTGATCATGGCTCTGTACATGACTGTTTTCTGTCCCATATTTGATTTATATTTTTTACAAACCTTCCTTCTATTGTATGTCGTGTTTGATAGTTATGTTGTGCATATTGCGCTATAAACCTTTGTGATAATATATCTGGTGAGTGAGTCACTGTAATATTTCTGACAATGTAATAAAATATAAGTTGACCTCTGTCTGACAGTTAACCATTTCAATGTCTCCAGCATTTCAGTGACTCTGGTTCTGTAGGAGCACTGCAGTGCACATCGTGCTGCCTTATTTTGTGCTACTTGTAGTTTGTTAAAATCTTTTTCAGCAGCACTAGACCATATAACCAAACAATAATCAAGCTGCGACAGAACCAAAGCATCCAAAACTTGTCTACTGACATCCATAGGCAAATATTTTACAATTATTTTTACAACTGACACACCCCTTCCCATTTTACATACAACATTATCTATTTGTTTAGACCAAGATAATTTATGATCCAGGGTTATACCTAGCAATTTTGTCTCCTTGACCTGTTCAATTTCAATATGGTTTAAATGTAGTTGCAATTTTGGTTCACCTTTTAACTGATGATTTGATCCTATTAATAACGATTTTGTTTTTCCCGCATTAAGTACCAACTTATTATTTATGACCCACTCTGATATCAGTAGTAGATCTTTATTCATAACATTTGTCAACTCTCTTGTAGTTGATGCTGCATAATATATTGTTGAGTCATCTGCATACATTACAATTTTAGCTTTTTCTAACACTAATGGTACTCTAGGTCATTTGTAAAAAATAGAAAATAAATGTGGTCCCAAACAACTACCCTGAGGTACTCCACAAGTGACTGTTTTCATCTTTGAGAGACTTCCATTAAAAAAAACAGTTTGACTTCGATTTGTCAGGTAACTTTCTAACCACCTCAGCGTTTCAAAATTAAAACCATATTGTTCCAGCTTGTGTAACAACAAAGAATGGTCAATGACATCAAAAGCAGAACTAAAATCAAGTAGTACTGCACCCACTAACTTCCTATTATCTAGTTCGCCCTTCCAGTCATCTGTCATTTGTGTTAAAGCGGTGCATGTGGAATGGCCAGGTCTGTAAGCATGTTGATACACAGTATTAAGTTTGTTACCTTCAAAGTATTTTTGTATTTGATTGAAAATTATTCTCTCCATTATCTTTGCTAATGCTGGTAATAAACTTATTGGATGGCTATTTGTACCAGAAAATGGTCCAGCTGGATTTTTTGCAAGTGGAATAATTTTTGCTATTTTCCATGCCTGTGGGCAAATACATTTATCAATACTCAAATGTATAATATGACAGATAGGCTCTGCAACAAAATTAGCAACATATCTAAGAAATGTACCAACTAAATTATCCACTCCTGGTGGTTTATCATTACATTTACCTAGTAGACATTCAACATCTGTAATTGTCACTTTTTCTATTTTAAATGTACACTTCTTATTTTTCATAATTAAATCCTTTATTAGAAATGTGGAGTTACTATTTATAGTTTGATTCATATTTCTCCTCAAATTTTTTACTTTATCAAGAAAATAATCATTCAGATGATTAGCAATTTGTACTGGTTTTGTCAAAAATGTCCCATCCTCAAGATATGTTGAGGTGGATTTCGGCTTACGGCCCATCATGCCATTCACTAAACTCCACAGTTTTTTCTTGTCATCCTTTATCTCTTTAATTTTATTTCCATAATACAACTGTTTTTTCTTTTTATTTAATGCTGTAACATAATTCCTTAACCTTCTATAAATTTGCCCATCTGACTCATAACTTGATGAGAGAGCTACATTTTTTGCATCATCTCTTTGTTTCATTAGATCCCTTGATTCCTCATCTAACCAGGGTGCTCTAAAGTTCCTTACAGTCTGTTTTCTAAGTGGAGCATGTTTATCAATCACCTGCATAAATAACAAATTAAAGACATCAAGAGCATCATCTGGATCGACTTTCTCAAAAACATGTTTCCAACATATCTTTTGAACATCCTGTATAAATGACTCTTCACTAAAATATTTCATTGATCTCCTCACAATTACTTTTGGTCCAGCTTTTTGATGCATCGCATGTCTAACCAAAATCCACTGAAGTTGGTAGGAGGTTGGGAGTCAAAAGAACTCTGGAACATTGCAGAGGAGTTGGCTATTCGTGTCCTGTGTTAAACCAACATTTGTAAACCCAGAAAAGTACCTATTTTGGATTAAATAATAGATTTACCTTTTTCGGATTTAGCAGTTTGATTAGTGAGCAATGCACTATACAACTCAACGTTTTAAGATAAGGTAAGGATGAGATAAGGTGTACTTTATTGATCCCAATTTGGAAAATGTTTGAGATGCAGCAGCATAAAAGACAAGGCATCGCACGAATAAACAATTCTAAAATGTCAACATCTCAAAATAGAAATACAACTGAATTAAAAAAGTCGAAAATATACATGTAGAAATACCAATTTACAGTCAATTAAATTAAAAGCAGGATATGATATACCGTACATAACTACTATTTCATAAACACAGCAACCATTAGGTCCATTGGAATAATTAGGCCGTCTGTAATGATTTGTTACTGCAATTGATATTGTCGCTGTTAGCTATATAATTCCTCATCACAGCAGCCATGTTGGATTTGAGACGACACTTCTTGGTCGACATTCACACAGTGCGCATGCCTTTACAGGGAAGTGTTTGAATGGAGACACAGGATTAATTATGTCTGTGACCTTTTCCTAAGTAGGTGAGGACACTGCTATTAAAAACCCTTTTTCTCAGGATGGTTCTGGGCAAAGACGGTTGTTGCGTGTCATTAATGTGATCACTGCTACGGTACGACCCAACGACAGATATATCGACCGTTCTATCATCCTGTTTCCTCTTCTTTATCACCACTGTTGTTGACCCTGAGTTGCCATGGACACCCTGGCATGGTGTTTGTATCTTGACATCATCAAGGTCATTGGTTAAAAGACTTTCCTTCAACTTTCCCATGAGCAGACTTCACCTCTCTGCCAGATTTCTACTGTCTTCACACACGGTATACAGTAATTACACATGTTTACGCAAATATCTTAAACTCAATATATATGTAAGAATGTTTTTCTTATTACATTCATCATACAATTTCTATAGAACTGTTTAAATCTCTGCTAAAAACTCGCCTATTTGCACTGGCTTTTAAAACTAGTTGAACATGAGATTTTCACATTTCAATATGTTTTTAATTATTGTTTTATTATTTTACTCCCATTGTGTTATTCTTATATTGTGTTTGTTCCCTGTACAGCACTTTGGTCAACTGAGGTTGTATTAAATGTGCTATACAAATAAATAAAGATTGACATTGAGATACCAACATGTAGATTTCCCTCCTTTCTAAAATCTGAATCAGTTAAATTATACCTTAAAAAAATGCCAATTGATTCTCAGTTAAAAATAATGTAAGAAACTGGATGTATTTTCTTTGTGTTTCATGTCTGTCCTGCTTAATATTTTGTTTACTGTAAATTGGTATTTCAACATGTATATTCTCGACTATTTTAATGCTGTTTTATTCCTATTTTGAGATGTTTCAATTCTAGTATTGTTTATTTCTGCCCTTTAATTTCTACTTATGTGCAATGCCTTGTCTTGTATGCTTACATTTGGTCACAATCTGATGAAGGACCCAAATGCAGCACTCGAGAAACCAAGGAGTATTGGCAATACACTTTGTGAAGCTGACCGTTGAGCGGCCCGACCAAGCAAGGAGGCAGAGGCAGAACGTCCAAAAATACAACCCGGTGTGGGCATTTATTAAGTGATTCACATCATTCACAGCCTCAATCCGGCTGAACATGTGCACACCGTCACCAACCACAGGGATTTTGCACCACACTACCAGCCTCCAAACAGACAGGGCAACAGAGCCTAAATACACACCCACACTAATCAAACCAACAGGACACAGGTGATGGGGGAGCAATTAGACACAGGTGGGGGGGGAGGAGACAACACAGGGCACCAGGTGAACATAATCAGGAGTAACAGAAAGAACGGGAGGGGGAACACTTTTCAAAATAAAAGACATGTGCAATATACAAGGCCGAAGCCGTCAGTCCATAGTGACAAAGTTATCCTCGTCACACAACTACTGCTAACGAATCTAAAACAACTAAGTTTCTCTAATATTTTGTGATTTGCATTTGATTTCGTCCAGCCAGATCAGGAAACTCCTGGCGTATCTGGCGGACAACACACACACGGGATGACCACTCTGATGCCTCGTCCTAAAAAGCCCCGGCAGCAGCTTACAAAGCTGCGATAGGCAAGATACCGAAAACGCCTATAAGGGGAGGTATGGATGATATACAGTGTACATATGTATATTTAGACATGTTCATTTTGTACATTTCTAAAAATAAAGTTTGATGGAAATACTTAGTAGCCTTTCTTCCCTGAATTTTTTTCTCCTATAACATATCATTTATATATATAGCAAACCATGATTTGATTTTTCATCAAATAGTAGTAGTTTGTTACAGGTAAAAATAACTTACTCTTCTATAACAACAGTTGTAGGTACAGTTTGGTTAGTATAGATATAAAATATACGGCTGTACTGATGTTCCGCTCAGAACTTCCGGTTCCTTCGTTAAAAAGGAATGCATTTTTTCTATAGGGTTTTGGAAAATAGCTCGAAATAAGGTCTGTGGTTGACACAAATTTAAGAGATAAATCACGTTTTGTTCTACGACATCAAATACATCAGCAGTGACCCCACTGGTGATTTTTGAAGAGTTTACGTGTCTGAAAAACGATGGTTGATACCAAGTGGCTGAATAGGACTACAGAAATTGTCGAGGCCATTGTACGTCATTACGCCTAACACGTACACACTCCCGCTAANATTTGAGTCAGACTCATTTTCTAAATCTAAAGGTCCCATGTCATGGCTACTGATCATAATTCCATTGTTGAGGTCTACTAGAATAGATTTACATTGTTCAATGTTCCAAACTCACATTGGTTTCTCATACAGCATCTCTGTATAGTATGTGTATTCACTCTCTGTCCTACACGCCTTGTTGGAGCTCCTGCCCCCCTCCCTGTGAGCCCAGTGGCCGTCTGCGAGACACAGCGAAACCCAGCCCGAAACCAGCCCGAGCACACACACACACACCCGCAGCCTGGCTGGGAGTTTGACACGGCTTAACGTAACGGCTCCGCGGATTGGTCCATTTGGACCAATGCCTGGGGTCCATTTGGGTATGGGCACGTCACTGTACCCAGGAGGCAAACAATGGAAAAAGAGAAATGTCCAACGAGGCGTTCTGGGGCAGCATAGACAGGTCTTTTCTGTGTTAGAGTTTTACTCCCTACAGGGTGTACTTTGAGGGTTTGTGACTCTGCAGACCGTTTACATGCAGAGAAACCTTCATAACAACAAGGGGACGGGTAATAACCAGAAAAGCATGACATGGGACCTTTTAATGTTAAATATTTATAATAACCAAACACCCCAAAAAAGTTGTAAGATATTTGAATACCCATCTTTAAGTTTCCAGACGGCTTTCCTTGAGTATATTAACTGTTATAAAATGTATTTTATATATTGGCACCAAAATGCCTGTAATTACTACTTTATATTAAAATGGATTAGTTTGCTTCACTTTCAAGCTTCTGCTTTCATTTTATTTTTCCATACTCTTTTATTTATGTAGCTCTTTTAGCTTGTCTGTGTGTCATCCCTGCCACTCAGAGGACTGGGTTTATGCAACCAATCCATTGTGTTAGAACAAATATAAAAAAGAAAAAAAAGAACTGTTGCCAAAAAAGTGATCAACACTTAACTTGCAGTCAACAGCATTGAGCAATCTCTCATTATTCCGTTTAAACCTTTGTATGTTTCCCCAAAACTGTATTAAATCAAATGTTTTAGATGACTCTTTTATCTCTGGTAAATCTTTGAACATCTCCCTCTCTCTCTCCCCCAGCGACTGCAGCTCCTGTTGCTGAACCCCCTGAAGGAGTTGTCCAACGTGCTGCATGCAGACATCCGGCAGAAACAGCTGGAGAGTGTCCTGCAGATCCTGCAGAGCCAGGGAGACGGCCTGGGGCCCGGCTGGCCCCTCGTCCTGGGAGTCATCGGGGCCATCCGCAATGATCAAGGGTGAGAGAACAGAGGAGGAGGAAGAGATGGACAAATCTAGGGAATCAGCCTAAATATCTGTTGCGAATAATCCATGAATTTGACCTCAACCGAAGCGTGCCTTGTTTCTTTCTCCCCTTCAGCGAGTCCTTAATCCGCACAGCTTTCCAGTGCCTGCAGTTGGTGGTGACAGACTTCCTACCCACAATGCCTTGCACGTGCCTCCAGATCGTAGTGGATGTAGCCGGCAGCTTCGGCCTCCAGAACCAGGAGCTCAACATCAGCCTCACCTCCATTGGCCTACTGGTGAGATACCTTGTCTCGTAGACGTTTTTATTTTAGTGTTTTGCTCAGACACACACTCAGGGTTACTGCTAAGATGCTCAACATATGGTCAACTCATCTAGAGCAGGGGTGTCAAACTCAATTTCATCGCGGGCCACATTAGCATTACGGTTGCTCTCTAAGGGCCACTTTACTTTAAGATTATATAAATATATAATATATATAAAATAATGTATTATATGACATGATTTCCTCTGCATTGGATCATTATCGGATAGGGTAATAACTTAGTAATTAACTACGTCTGAAGGCAAAAGTCCAGGGCAAATAATTGCAAGTCTCTTCAGGCATGTCACAAAATGAGATGCATTGTGGGACATGTAGTTTATTGGCAACGTGCTTCTGTAAAGCGGCATGTAACCATATAATAAACGTATCATATTCTTTGCAAGCTCTTGCGGGCCACATAAAATGAAGTCGCGGGCCGGATTTGGCCCCCGGGCCTTGAGTTTGACACCCCTGCAGTACATGTTACGCCCCTGCTGTGAAACAATTATTAAATGTGCTCATTCAATTAGTGACAAATTAATTACAATTCCAGCATTTGTGACAATTCTCAGACTAGATTAATTAATTGTGATGTTATGAACCACTTTTCGTGCAGATTAAGTGATCTCAGCCTTACGGTTTCATTGGTGCCCAGCCGTGTGAATTTAGAAAGCTCTAATAAGTAACAATACATACAAAATGGGATGTAGGGGAAGCCATTTTGTTGATAGCAGATGACATGCTGTACATGAACTGTAAGCCAGAGTAATCAAGTTCGTCAAATTTGACTAGAGTCAAATTATGTACTTTTTAGTGACAAAAAGGAAAGACATTACAGAAACTAGTAACAAAAAAGACAAGGAATATGTTGTTGTTCAGGGGTCGAGTTTACCTGAGTTTCCAGCAGTGGTCTGGTCTCCATGTTAATAGCGAGATGACCGGAAGGAGAAGCCATCAGAGTCACTGGAAATAGTGAGAGAACAACATTAGAACAAGTCTTTCTGTCTCAATTGTATTTGTGTGATGGATACCTCCTTACTTTTGTTAGACATGGCTCCCTCTGCAGTGATGACGTATGGGTCACATCTGAACTGCTCCAAGCTGGTGATGGTGCACTGCCCGACCACCGGAGTCCTGCCGAACGGACGGTGGTCGATCACCTTCAGCACGATGGGCGGGGTGTACATCTCCTCCTTTGGAAGGAGCTGGATGGGAAGTTTAGAAATAGTATTGGATATGGTTAATCTATTTGGAGAATTGTACTCTGCTCTGTTGGGGATGTGCTTTTATTGTATTTGCAAATGTAATTATATTCTTGGTCTGTACTTTAAACTGATTTCTAGTAATTGGACACTTTTTTTTTTTTTTTTAGCATTATTTTGTAATCGGCCATATGTCTAATGTTGGGGAATGTTCAAAAAAAAAGGAAAAAAATAAAATAGTATTGTGAAAAAGGCACGGGACAGTTTGAAAACTTCATGAAAATTCGGCCAAAATATTTCTGATTCATAATGTGATCCCAGTTATGAACAAAAATGCTTAAAATGTGCAATTACCACTTTGAGGAAGAGGACAGATCCCGGGAAGTTGGGGCTCTTCTTCATGTTCTTGATCACGACCGACTCCACCCTCTCTCCCCCGCACTCCACCACCAGGCTGGGGGAGGAAATGGAGGCCAGCTGGTACGACTTCATGTTCCTCAGGCCCCATACCAGGATCTAAACACAGAGACACACAAAGTTAATGTAAGATTTTAGTCTAATGATGTACCTCAGAGTGACGGTCTAAAGGTTGTGTGTTACCTCGACAGCCGTGAGCTGCACCACGGGCCGGATGCCCTGAGGAACCATGAAGATGTTCTCCGATCTTTTTGAGGGAAGCAGAGGAAGGTCTGTCTCGCCCGACTAAAGACAGGAGAGTGTGGATTATTTTTTGTGTAAAGCCTTTCTTAACCAGGATCATCCCATTAGCATCAAATATCTATTTTACCAAGGAGATCTGACTAATTATAGCGGAAACAGAGAATTTCAACTCTTAAAAAAATGTCAAACAACAATCCTAGAGTACACAGTTGCATTTTAAATACTCTAAAGTTGTAATTTCTCCACAACTTTCTGGACAAACCTTGTCTTTAAGGATGAGTTCTGCAGCCAGCAGGGCCTCTCCTGCCTTTTGACCTTTCTGGATGATGGGGTACCACAGCAGTCTGGGAGTCTGGTCCATGCTGGCGTTCAGCTTCACCATCGGAGTGCAAACAGTGCGGCCCAGCAGCTCATCTTTCCCCTGGGGAGAACATCACATGTCAAAGTGCTTATTTGTTTTCATACATTAGAGTTTCTATGGGGAAATAAGTCTCACTTTGTTTTCCCCTACAGCAATTATCTGTAATTATCCACAGTTAGACGTATGCATGGTGTTGGACAATAGGAACCAATTGTTCACCACTGTGAATTTAATTTGAACGTCGCCTTGTTTTGTAGAAAAATCACTCACATTAACAATGTATTTATAAAACAACGTACCACTTGGTCGTTGTCGTAGAACTCCAGAACCACATCGGGGGGGCACTGAGCGATGTTCTGCGGGTCTCCGTAAATCTCCACATCGCTGAAGATCAGAGTCTGGTCCCAGGTCGGGTTCAGGGTCGCCTTCAGCTTCTCTGTTGTCTTACTGAAGTGCAGGAAGGAGACGTGTGCATACGGATCTGCAAAGGAAAAAACATGCATGGTTAAAGAGTCACTTTTTCACATCCATCATTAGCAGCTATTTTTGCATTAAGACTCATCTTATTTTCGATTTAGCACTTTAAATCCATATTGGAAAGTCATCATTTAATCAAATTTAAAGTAGGATTTTACCAGAAAAACTATCTTTGTCCATAGATGCCAAGTTCTGAGCCTGATAGACGTAGACACGGAGATGGTACAAGTGTGACCCTGCGGGAACAAAACATTCAGTTGAATATATTTACATGTTTGTTTGTGCATGATTATTCATATGTGATATTATATGCAAAGCTCACTGTCGAAGCAGCAGGACACAGTGGGCGTGTTAGCACCAAAGAGCTTGGTGACGTCTGACTTGGAGTCCTTTTCCTCGGTATCCACGCCCTGCAGAGAAAGCAAAAGTTATTTAATACATAGGTAAATATTTGTTGACTCAGATCCGGTTCATGCAAACTAGTTCTCTCTGACTCATGTGAATGGCTACTGTGTTTATTCTGATATTAGAGGCATATTCAAACGACCTTTGTGAAAGATCTCCAAATCAGAATAAAACATTTATTATCCTTTTACTCACTAGTGCCCCCTCCAGTTGGAAGATGGCGGACGCTCCCAGCCGGTCCTCTGGTCCCATTTTCCGCCTCCAGCGCCTTCGCCGGAAGGTATCGGAGGAACGCTCCTTCCTGTGGAACTTCCAGCCAATCAGAGAGGAGAATTCCCAGCCCTCAGGGTCACCTTGGTCCCTCTTCTGTGAGCAAAGACAAACAAATGGCATTTTTTTTTTTTATTGAAAATCTGACTGCAATCATTAGTAATGCTTTTTCTTTTGCATTCGAAAGTATGGAAAAAAAGACACTTTGATCTTAATCTCAATCCATCTTTGTCACATGATCAGAATGTGCACAATTAGCTTCCTTTAATAAATGATGCTACATTAATGTTGGGAAAATAGTGAATGTACTCTTCCAATATCAGAGTAGCATGATGACAAAGGCCCTACGTAGCTGTGTACGTAACAGGATGTATCATTACTTAGAAGAGCGTCAGGACTGTTCTAGACATACGATAGCTATGTGATTAACATGATGATTCAGCCTCTATGGAGACGACATATGACTGTCATGTTTATTGCTTACGCGGGCCTTAGCTAATCTGAACTAAGCATAGTATCCTGCTTTGAACCGGTATTCCTCCAGCTTGTGACTGTAACACTCTCTTGTATATCAGCATGTAAAGGACACTGTTCAGGAACTGGTTGTACCAAATGCTCTGTATGAGATGACTACTTCCATTCTTGAGAGGACAATAAATACATGTATCCTGATTATTGAAACTCAAGCCGGTGACGAACAATTAGATACGAAGCACTGTCCTTTGCTGACCTGCACAGGGCCTCCTGCAGGATGCGCTTCTCTCTTGCGAGGTCGGAACAGTCGTCTCCTGCGGTGGACGTGGTAAACTTTCTCCGCAGAGACCCAGGACTTGGGCTGGTCAGCTGGGGGAATAGTGACTCCATACTCCCATCCTGTGGAGCGCACACAACCAAATGGATTCATTATTGTTTCGAAACAAGAACACATGGTTTGCATTTCACCATGTGAGTTCAATTTTATGATTATCATTATGAGCTAGCAAGGAGTAAGTCAGAGCCCTAGGAAAAAAGGAGACATTTATAAAAACATGCATCCAAATGTAGTCGTTTTGAGCCGATGCTGCCTGTATGACTCTAAACAGCTGAACCCCATTTAAGTGCTCTTTTTACTGAAATGTGTGTGTACAGTTTTAATATTATGCTGCTGTGTTTATTGTATTTTGTAACTCTGGCACAGCAATTTCCTTCAGGTTAAATAAAGTCTTATCTATCTATTTAGGATTTAAAGGTCCCATGTCATGGCCATTTCTACTGATCATAATTCCATTGTTGAGGTCTACTACAATAGATTTATATCGTGCAATTTTCCAAACTCTCATTGGTTTCTCATACAGCATCTCTGTATGTGTATTCTCTCTCTGTCCTAAACGGCTTGTTGGAGCTCCTGCTCCTCCCCCCCCTATGAGCCCAGTGGCCATCTGCGAGACAGCCAGACACAGCAACACCAGCCCGAACACACACACACACACACACGCACACACGCAGCCTGGCTGGGAGTTTGTGTGTGTGCTCACACATCGACTCACAGCCTCGCCGCCGTCTCAGGGAGGAGAAATCGGCGGAGCTGCAGCGGAGAAAAGATTGAGTGTGTGTGAGGAAGTCCGCGGACGTAACATAACGGCTCCAAGGATTAGTCCATTTGGACCAATGGGTCCATTTGGGCATGGGCACGTCACTGTACCCATGAAGAAAACAATGGAAAAAGAGAAGTCTCCAACGAGGCGTTCTGGGGCAGCACAGACAGGTCTTCTCTGTGTTAGAGTTTTACTCGCTACAGGGTGTACTTTGAGGGTTTTGACTCTGCAGACCGTTTACATGCAGAAAAACCTACATAACACACAAGGGGACGGGTAATAACCAGAAAAGCCTGACATGGGACCTTTAAGATAAATGTTTGCACCTTGATCATCCACGGCTCTGTTGTCGTCCACAGACCACTCGTCCTCCCACGTCCAACCTGTAGGACAGTCGAACTCTCCGGGGTTACGGCTCTTCTCTCCATTCTGTGCAACAAAAAACCTCAGTTAGCTCATTTTATCGTTTGGTCATATTCTTCATGTGCTTTGGCCGACCTACAAAAGGTCAGATATTACTCTTCTTGGGGGTAAAAGAAGTCTGTCCGATACCATGTCAAATGTTCCTAGATCGTTATTTTTCAGGATTTCCCAAGTAACGTTTTTTTACCTGGATAAACTTCTTTCTATCCATTTACAGAAGAAAATCTTTTTAGGGAAAAGCAAAACCTTATTTTATTTCCACCGCCCCTTAAAAAGGTAGGGTAGGTACGAATGGAGAAACCAGCTCCAGTTATTTTAGCCGGGCCGGCTCAGATGATTGGTCGTGCTTTTTACAGCGCCACGGCTTCCACACATGACATTTTTTATGTATTTATTGTCAAAGCATTTAATATATTCATTGCTATCGGGATGTTAAGAGCATTCCATGGAATATAACAAAAAGTGTTCCTGAAGTGGATTACCTACCCCACCTTTAAGTCCTGAACACTATTTGGATCAGATTTAGAAAAAGGGTTTTAGTTTTCCCCTCTTGCCTCTACGGGTTTCTGTAGTTGTGTGTCACAGGGAAGAGGTAACATTGTATTTTAAGCCTCCCTGCACACTATTTGCATGTGAGCATGTTGTTCTCACCACATCGGTGAAGGGCTCCGAGGCTCCCTTCCACTCTCTACCGGGGAAGCGAGTCTCATTCTGAAACACCTCGTCCATGAAATCAGTGTGTCCTGCATCTGCCTCTGTTAGGAGACTGAAACACAAAAGGCAGACATAAATACTCTACCATCCTTTACAAACATTTTACAAAAGGACATGTGTGTGAACTATAGCACCCTCTCATGGCAGCGCCAGAAAAGACACCAAGGCAACCACACATTTTGCAAAGTGAAGTGCAGCCTGAGAAAGAGAGGGTTTGCATGTTCTGACAGAGACTGTGTTTACAAGTTGGGAGTAACCCGACTGTTGGCCACACATGAAATTGAAGTTTTAAAAAGTGTGCATTCCTCTTGTTACTGTCCATATATTGTAGTAGTTCACTTATGATAAAGCAGATGACTGCAAACTGTTAGATAATATAAAACAAGATGTCTTCTAATGCGTTTTATGAATTAATCTGCATTAGTTTTATTCAGCCTTTTTCCTTTATTGTCACATATCTGTACATAGCAGAAATACAACAGTCGGTGCTTGCGAGGTACTTGCTCACAGAAATGTACTTATGACGTTAGCATGGAAAAATAAACAATTATAAATATAAATTTAAGCCAAGATTGGAGATTTGGTGTAAATAGCTTCCTGGCACAGGCTGGCACTTTGACATTACATCATGGTCTAAAGCATGGGAGGAATGTAAACAGAGCAGACCCACTTCCTCCAGTTAGGGCCACCTAATGTGTGCCTTCAGTGGAAAGAGACCACATTCAACCACTATAATCAGCAGTGCAACTTCAATTACATTAAGATGAACTCCCCCTATATGTAACTAGATGGTATTCTGAAAGAACAAATCACAAGGTATTCCCTTGGTCTGTTTGGTATTTCACAGAAAGATTATCGGTTATCTACAGATACTCACGCTTTCTCTGGGTCGATGAACCAGTCGTCTTCCCACTCCCACCCTCTCTGGGGCATGAAGTGTTCTTGTTTCAGCTTCAGTTTGCCCGTAACGTCTGAGAACTTGTATCGCCCCACTAGTCCCGTGGTCCCCCACTTCCCAAACACCGCCGCCTGGTTCTCATACTGCAAGGCAAACACGGACATGCTTAGTTTTAGAAGCTGACAGACGGCTGAAATACACAATTACTTTTAATTTAGCAGGGATTTACCAGCTCTGCAAACACGCTGAAGGTTCCCTCAGAGAAGGAGTTGAACTTCTTCTCGTGCGCAGACAGACCGAGCCACATGTTCACCCGGATCTGAACTGGCACCTTCAGCCCCTTGTTCTTGTCCATGGGATACTGAAGGAAACAAACAAGAAAATCAATCAAATCAATCAAATGAGCATTTTGATTTCAGAGAAAATAATTCTAGTGCAGAGCCTTTTAGTCGGCAGATGCAACTATAACCCAACTACTTGTAAATATATTTAACTTTGCTTTAATAACTTAGCAGTACAACAATCGTGTACAATAATTCAACCGCATTCAATTATTTTTGACTGTACAGTTTGACTAGTATTCTATTCCAATTTCTTCCTGGGGATCAATAAAGTATTTCTGCATTTCTTATTTAGCCGACAGACACTTAAATCTGTTCAGACACAATCTAATAGAATGTATTACTACATCCAGTTTGACTTTTTTGGTCTGTAGATGTGTACCTTTAAGAAGACGGTCTTTGTTTTTCCACAGTGCTGCCCGCAAGCCTGCTCACTGTATGTGGAGTAGAGGAATTGGTGAGCGGGCATTCGGCTGTAAGCCACTCTCTTCTCCCCCCGTAACATCCAGATGATCACATCCGGCATGCTGTTCTGAGGCTGGACGAGAACACGTGAACAAATGCAGAGTCAATGACAGGCACATTTGGGAAATTTGATTTTAGGTCTCCCTTTGTCTAAAGTCTCAGTTTACCTCATCAGCCAGCTGTTGGAGTTTTTCCGCCCAGGACTCTAAGTCAGGCAGAGTGTCAGCGATCTCCCTCGCCTCCTCCAACATGCGTTTGGCTCCCTTCTTGATTGTTTTCAAAGTGCTGTCGCGCAGCTTCTTGATTTGGAAGTCCAGAGAGGTCAGGTTGGAGCAGCCCTCTAGCTCCGGTGTCGTGAGACTGGAGGAGAGCAGAGACAAAAATGGGAAAAATATTTGTCCTAGTTATGAATTAAGTCCCATTATTGTCATTTATATTTAATATTAGTTTAAATAAGACACAGACTGAGATTACACTTTACATTACATGTCATTTAGTGACTTACAATGTATGCAATCAACTTGAGGTTTCAAATTCAGAACAGCCAAGGAACAACATTAGCTTCAATTAAGCCAAAGCTTTTTCAGGCACGACATACAGAAATAACATAATTTAAATACATTTAAATTAAGCAAAAAGGTGCAGTCAATATTAAGTTACTAAGTTATACTAAGTAATGAACCAGTAAACCCTTATAACCATTATTGTTTAATTTGTTTTTTGGCTTCCTTTGTCTCTGTCTCTTGGGCTCATCTGACATTTCCTAACATTAAAATGACCCACAGACAACAGACATGATCTTTGGCTTAAACCCATTCCACTGTTTACCTTTCCAGGTCTTCAATCAGCTGATTGAGCAACTTCAGCCACACCTCTACGAGTTTGTTGTCGGAGGCTTTAGCCAGGATGGCGGTTTTAAACAGCTCCAGGTTGGATTGCTGCAACAACAGCAGAATAAGGTAAGGATTACACACTCTCACTGACACATGTTCACACACGTTCCAAACATTATTTCACTACAGTATGCTATAATGGCCTACAATAAATCATAACTCCGGGTTAATGTGGATGACAGAGGATAAAGCAGTGTTACCAGGCGGTGAGTGATGTAGAGGATGATGTTGACAGCGTCCAGGCGGTGGCTGACGTCCTCCCAGAAAGAGAGAACCACAACCACCGGCTTAGTGTCCGCCCAGGGCAGGTAATAGTAGTGGTTACCTTGGAGATAATAACACACCAATTTAAAAAGATCCTCTTGCCAGGACAGCACATTTAACATGCATTTAGGATCATTCACCACATGGCTTCCTTACTTACCATCAAACACTGCACAGCTATACTGAGTGGTGGAGGCCAGCGGTTTGCAGGTGGTGTCCAATTTGTTGCCGTAGTTACCGATGCTGACCTCAAACTGGATTGGCTCTCCTGGTTCCTGTATCATGGAGGCGCTGTGGAAGACCGCGCACAGACTGTACTTCCTCCTCCGCTGGTACTTCTGATGAGAGGAAGACAACAGAAAAAGGGAAGGAGAAGTTCAAAATGTTTTTAAATCAACGACATTCTGTCAGGTATCACGCAGAGGAGGAAGAGTCACAGTACCTGCACCACCAGGATGTCGTCGCTGTGGATGCTGTCTACCGTTTTGTCCGCTTTCCCCTCCAGTTTAGTGGACAGCTCCACCAGGATCCTGCCCCTGTACGCCACTCCTTCGCCCTGCAAAGACCTTTTCTTCAACTTCAACTAGAATGGAACATGGACAGTGCAGACCTACACCAAGTTGTTTTTCATAACTTTGATTCTGATCTGCCTCAAAGTTTTTTGTTTTTTTTTTTAGCGCTTGCTAAACTATTCCACTAAGTTTCATGGAAATCAAGCCAGTCAATTTTCCAAATGCTGCGAACAAATAAGCTAAACTTAAAAAAATAACAGGAAAAGGGGATGCAGGATCAAAGTCAAAGTCAACTTTATTGTCAATCTTTCAGTTTGTGTGCACGAAATACCGTTTCCCACAATCCCGAATACAAAAAAAAAATATATATAAAAATATGCATATACATAATCAAAAGACACATTTATACATATGCACACATTAAGACCAAATAAGTATAAAATGTGTCTTTCGATTGTGGGATATGGATATACTTAGAGAAAAGGTTAGAATTGTGAATACAAGTCTTAAAAAGGTCAAATGTTCCCTACCTTTCCAAAGTTGAGATCCTCGTAGGGGTCTGGCAGGCCGCTGAACTCTCTCGGGCTGCCGTACAGGTTGACGTAGCACGGCCCGAAGACGGGAAGGAAACCCACCTCAGACTGCCCTGTGTTAGCTGAGGAGACATGAAGATGGACTTAGCACCTCTTCATAATTAGAATAAAGCTCAGCAAAGCTTTAATGTTAGTATTGCTGCATTCCAGGCGCTGGTGGTGAAAAGGTTTGGGTTGGGGAAAAGTGGACGCTTAGTAAGCAGGTGGCAGACAACACAAATCTTTCTACAAACATTAAAACAGAGCATGGTAGCAATGTGCACGGCACGCACAGACTTTGACTTAATCAGCAGATTAGCGCGCACAACATGCTTTAACTCGTTACATCTCATGCAACACAGAACAATATAAAGAGCACAGTTGAACCTTCGTATGACGGTATTTCCCCACTTCCCGCATGTTCCTCTATTCCAGGAGAAAAAAGGACAATTCAAGTACCATTTACATGTTAAAACAATTACAATTACTGGGGGGTTTCATAAAAGACCCAGACAAATTAGGCGATATGCCGAGCAAACATTCATTTATATTTTAAACCCTTATATCATACCTTCTATCTCTCCACCAGAAGAGGCTATCTTGGACAGGTTCAGGTATGTGGTGCCGATAGCGTCATTTCCTGTTATACGATCCCTGCAATCACACACGGCAAATGTATATTAATTTATACTGTATATTAAACTGCACTCGTGATTAAATGTGCACGAGAACACGCACAATCCACAATGTAGGGGTATTGCTTTTTCTCTAGCTATATAAGAAGTATGTGGAATAGAACAAATAAAATCTCTCTACATGGTTTCTACAATGTGTTTATTGGCTCTGGGATGAGACTTTTCAACACCTTCTGGGGCACAGAGTTTTTCTAACATTTCCTCTTGCACTTATTTCCCTTCAGCCTTCCTGGACCCGAGTTATCGCACCGCTCAGAAGCGAACAATAATGAAAATGAGCCAACAGGATCCCAGAGCATTTACCGAGGGGAAGGGAGCGGCCTGCAGAGACTGAGTCAGACATTATTCTCATGTGGTTGGTAATGCTGCATGGAAACAAACATACACAGCTGACCACACTGCAGAAATATTGTGGTGCACTTTCTCAACCCCAAGAACAAAAATCCCACGGGCTACAATCTCTGAAACAAAAATGGTTTGACTTACCAATCAAATACTGTCAGTTTGACACGTTCACACATGGAGGGGAACTACAGAAAACATAAGAAGCAGGTTCAAATAAACCAACGTTTATTCATAATCGATTACTTTCTTATTTCTGTGCTTGGTGGAGAACATGTTACCTTGACTTGGAGGTTCAGCACTTGGTTCCACTCTGGGTTTGCATTCTTCTCGATGATCTTGGTGCACAGCTGGACAGAAAGGACACATTAGCTTCTCTCGTGACACAAAACAATGTTGTATCGAGTTGAGAAGAGACAGAAACCTTTAGTCCAGCAAAGCGAGCCTCTAAGAAAGGATCCACCAGGTTTTTCTTGTTTTCATCTCCTCCAAATATCCCTTTTATGGTCTGGACGAATGCATCATCCACTGAAATGAGAAAACATTGGAAAACACTTCTAAATTAAATCACTATTTCTTAACAGTATAGTTGAATCTTGTTTATATCTATGAAAAGGCATATTAGGGTCATTGTAGGTTTGAAAAAAAATTGCAGAACCAGTGGCATAGGCTAATATTTTTGAAAAAAATATACAACTTGTATATTTACAGGAAACAAACTTGGATATTCCACGGTGAAATGATGAATTGACAAGAAAAAGTGTGGAAAATTCGACAAAAGTTGTTTTTTTTTTGTTTGGGAACCACAAACGCTTCACTTTGAAGTAATTTGTCACAAATCCAAAATAAGTGTCTTTACTCTGGGGGACGTCCTCAGCTCTGAACACCTTCAGGGACAGGGTGGCCCATCGCAGAGTCACACCAGCCGGCAGCAGCAGATTACTCTCGATGTCGTCCTGATCGTCATTTGAATCCCTCTTTTCCACCTGCATCGTGTCACATAGGAAGAACAGAATGGAGTTCACGAAACAGAACGAGGACGCACGGCCACTGTATTTACATGAGGAAAGAGGAAGCGACTCAAGTCATCTGAGAGCTGTAGTCGTACCGGAGGCTCGTCTCCAGCCCCGACCACGAACAGGCTGACTTTCAGGTAACCTTTCGAGCCCGAGGCCGAGTCATCGGGTTCGTTCAACAGGAGCCACTTCCTCAGAACACAGTGCGCTGAAACAGGTCACACACACAGATTAACACCATGAAGGTACATGAAAAGCACCTTAACTTTACACCTTGTGCCTGATCCTAAACATGTTCCCCTCTTAACATTAACATTATACAAAAGGACTCAATAAGACTAACTCCCAAAGAAGAGTTGAATCTCACTCAATTGTCCTTCTCAGCTCCCTTACAGTCAAAATGGCGGCAAACATAACAACTTTATCACCTCGTATCATAACCACCTTTAGGGGTTTAAAACATATCAAGTATGGAATCACAATTTGCCGATTCCTCTGGTTCAAAACGAAAAAAAACTCTTCTTTGGATGTTAATTTTTAAGCAACAAAAAAGGCCAAAATGTGAACTGCAATTGACTACGTGAGGCTTGTTTTTAGCTCAGCAGATTGACGCAAATGTCTGTTGCTAACTTAAGCGATTGTTGATTTCTTGAGGTCCGTTTTAGTGGGTTAAGAGGAGTGAGGAGTCAGTGACGGAAAGAACTAGGCAATACAATGTGTTTTTTAAATGTGAATCACCTCAATCACAGTAGGTTCTTGGCCATAAAGTTTCAAATCTGCTCAAAATATGCTAGGCTAATGGGTCCCGGGGTATGCAAATAAGCTTTGGACAGAGAGACACACACACGACCAATGTCGGTGGAGATTATTATCTTTTCACATTCTGACATCCACAAGCCAGACAACAGCATCCTCTGAGCAAATGTAAATGACACACAAATTTGTGGTTTGTGACAAACTCACCTGGTTCATCGTAAACATAACCGACATCCAGCTGTGTGTGAGAACAAAACCAGATCAGCCAGACATTAACCGCATTCTTGTATTAACATGTAATGGCAAGACGAAAGGAAACCAGGTACCTTGAATTCTCCCATGAGACTGTCAGCCCTCAGTGAATAGGAGTTATAGACCTGAAGAGAAAAGTAGTCACATTTTATATTTTTGTACATATGGAAAGATCTTTAGGACCTTAAAATCAACATGTTTACTGACCCTTAAGCTGATGTGCTTATCAAAGAGATCCGATGGTAGCATGTGGACATTGTAGAAGAACATCTGTGAAAAATGATGAGTTTTAATATAGATAAGCACAGATAAAGATAAAACATTTAGAGTCAACAACGTAGCTTTGAACAAGTGATAACTGCAAGGCCAAACACTTTTTCTATTTCCTTTTAAATTACCTCGTCAAAGAAGGGGTTGTTTCCCCTCTTGATCCTCGTCCTGTGGGTCTGATCGCACACGCTAACCTTCACCACCGGTTTGACGTTGTTACCGGACAGCTGACGGGCTTCGATGATTCTTATGCGAATCTGAAGGAAACAAAATATCACATCATCAGTGTGGGGAAATGAAAATACAACTCAGAGCAAACTCATTCTGACCAAAAGGAATAATCTCAAAGATTTTCAATTAAATCAATAACTGTAAATTCCTTTTACAGAAAGAGATAATATTACAAAATAAGTCTGTTTAAACATTCCTGGAAATCACAAGCCATGAAATCCAAAAAACAAGACACACATCCTAAGAAAACTAAGTCTAGTCTTAAAGATTGTACATTTATAGTAGAAGTACAGATACATAACTTGGGGGAAACCTAAACTCCCCAAAAATGACTGTTATGGTATCCTGAAACCACCTAAATGCGAGTTTAAAGAAAAATAAATCCATGTAGGCTAGAGGGGTCAAACTGTATTTTTGTTCTTGCAGTAGGTATTTTTCTTTTAATAGATGCTAAAAAGTTATGATAAATATACAGTTTTTGCCTTAATTTGCTTATTGTTGGGTTTTCTAACACCCACACCCTTCTCTTGTTGATCTGCGTGTTAAACCGTGTATTGGTCTTTGTGGAAACTGACCTGGAAGTCCTGAGGTTTATTGACCAGTCGGTGGCGATTCTGCGCTCTGGCAATCTTCTGCCGCATAACGGACTGACCGGAGGACGAGGGGCCCCCTGCGGAGCCACCCTGGCCCCCATCAGGTTGAGTCTCATCCCCTCCATCACCACCACCTTATTAGTAGAAAAAAACAAGATGTTAAAATACCTGGCATTCCTCAAATCAAGTGTAAATATTTACTAGACCAAGAATAACATACCAGCATCCACCGGGGAGTCTCCTTCCTGAGAGTCATTGGGGTTTGGGGCAAAATTTGCTGGAGGATCGTAGCCAATCACAAGGTCGATTGAAGCCTGGAAGGAAATGATTGGATCGTCTGTGATTACATTTATTTTTCTTTATAACAAAAAAGCCTGTCTGTTTCTTATATTTGTATAAAGCACTTACACCAATACCCTGTCCACTTTCATTGACCAGGGGAACATTTTTGGATGGAAGTGATCTCATTTGACCTGATGCGAGATCTTTCAGAGCGATTTTGGTTGACCCAATGAATCTGTTGGGGAAAAACACAACATGGGAATATTTTAATTTGAATCCACTGTCAGAATTCAGTATAAAATGCGTATAACATGTGACTTGGATGATAATTCTGCACTGATTTCCTGATTTATTACGGGAAAATTCATGGCTGCAGTTCAAGTCAGCCAACACACGTGATATTAGGTTACATACTGAACAGAGATTAAACCAGGTCACCACCCAAAGCTAACAAACCCTGCCTGTTCTGACAAACAAACGCACCCCGTGAGCCGGCGTACTGTCAACACCAGCTGCCTGTCAGTCATCTGTGACAAGAGGACTGACATTAACCAATTATTCCTTTTAAAAGACAAGCTATAACAGAACAAACTGAAAACTCACCTGCTTTGACGGCATCTTTGTTCAAACAAAGGTTTAATTGATGTGAAATGTATCTGCAGGATTCTCGCTTGTTAGTTCCTTAATGGCTGAATGCACTTATTTTTAAAAAGGCGTTCAAACTATCCAACATTTGATTCACCAGTCATCAAATAACATTAGGGTATTCTGAAAAAGATGGCTTAAAATCTCAGGGACTTCCTGGTAGAAAAACATTATCCTTGACGTCTGTATCACACAATGAGTCATTTTCCCCCTCTAAGTGTTACTCAAAACACTTTACTTATAAATAGAAATTGAATAATCATTAACATTTAAGTGGAGGATAACAATCTAATGAATCAAACGGTTGTCAAGAAAAGGACACGGACTTCAGGTTTGAAATGTAATGCATTCCTCCGTTAACTCCATATTTAAAAAGATAATATATATAGTGAAACTTAATGTGGTAAAGTGTCTTTGTGAGAACTGTACTCTAATATACATAATACTGAACTCTTGCTGTACAAATATAGTAGCCCTTCTGATGAAGTGTCATGAAAACTTGTTCTCAGACTGTTTGTAGTTGCTGTGGTTAATCGCTGCGGCTGTTTTGGTCTGCAGCCAAAAACAACACAGCCCAATGAGTGTTTATTTGTATGATCCATCTAAATATGTGAAGAGCAGCATTTCATTAGCTCTGAGAATATTTTTGGGAATATCAATTGTTGCCAATGAACCATGAGAAGTAAAAATATTTAAAACACAGATGTTTCTATTGTTTGTGCACTAAATGTATAATGGAAAGTGTATTATAAATAAAAAATTAAAAAACACTTATTTGTCAAATGCAATACAGATATTAACTTCTAACCAAAACATGATGGTTGAAAAGATGACAAACTTTATTGATCACAGTAAAAAAAAATTGTTTTTACTCTTTTGTTATTTTACACATTAAACACAGGTCCAACATACACATGCACAAACAGGACCTATAAATCTTGCTCAAGGGCACTTTCGCAGTGACAAGGAGGCAAACCGGCACCTCTCCAGCCTCCTCCAGTTCCCAAGACAAGTCCTTACAAAATGAGCTACTGCAGAGTTGCAGAAATAATAATAATCCTGCAGTTCCGTTTGTCTTTGGCTACTTAAAATAACATGCATTGTATCGTGTCCATAGTAACACAATGTAGCTGAAGGAATGCAGAGCATGATGTAAACTGAATTATTCTTTGGGAGGACTGAGTAATATTATTTTGGCAGCAAACCTGATGGGAGGAATTCCCCAAGATTCAGTTACTCAGTACGAACACAAGATCCAATGACACCACTCAAGAAACATCCAAAGCTTGATAACATCAGAGGCCTGCACTATGAAGCCAGTTCAACAGACCCTGGATATCTTTGAGTTTTCTGGCTTTTCCTACGACGCTAAATCCAGCCAGGGTTTCTCTGTCCGGCTGAGAGCGTGTTCACGTGAAAGGCTAGCAACATTTGACCAATCAGAAACCTAGAGAAGCGTACACACAGCGCACACAGCGCAGCGTCATACTTTATTGAATGAAAGTTAACTATCATGTTAGAGACAAATATGAAGTTAAACTGTATACGTACATCCATGACATAAACACATCATCAAGGATAAAGACAAACTTTATACCTCCATGAGTTAAACATTTAATCCAGCTACAAGGTGCATGAAGAACAGCTGGTAAAAATACTCCCGACTGTTTGAATGCGCAAATTAACAGGTTTATGATATCACTGGCCCATCTAGGACTGGGACACAATTTGATCTGACTTTAAAATTACATTCGAGTGTTTTGTTAACTTTAAGTGTTGTTTATAATAACACTTCTGCATACAGTATGCGAGAAGCTGACAGATAAGGACACATAAGACGGGATATGAATGAGAAGTGCGACACGTCTGCAGTGCTGCGGACTGGAGGCATTGCTCTGGTAATTTATGATGTGGCAGATCAAGTAGGCTTGCTTACCACAAATGTAAGCATAGTCAGATTGTTCTGAAGATGGGCAGTGATACACTATTAATGTACATGTTCACATAGTCAGCGATTTAAATTGCCAGCCGTCTTTCCTTCATACGCCAGTTCAACATAGGTTTCCTCTATCCTGTAATATGACTTGATAGCTTTAAAGTCTGCACACAGAGCTCTGATTGGTCAGCAGGCGGTGCTTTCACTGAGCTGATCTCTGATCTCCAACATGCCCCGGAGCAGAGTGGGAGTTCAGCATAAATTACAATGGACATCTACCCCAGTAAGAAGTGAACCAGTTCCTGACTGAAAACCAGAGTTAACCCTGAAGTCACCGCACTAACCCCAAATCCTGCTTCGTAGTCAAGGCTACAGGAAAGAGGCTGCCAGGGAATCCCAGGGGAGTCAGTGACTGTGTAAACCTGGTATGTAGCCTCGATTATCACAGGGGGAACAACAGTGTAGTTTTCCAATGGTTATTATCAGCAATAATGTTTGGAGGATTTAGCCTTAAAGAGGCCCTGCTAAGGCTAAAAATCACAACGAATAAAACTAAATAAAAACACACTCCGCCCTGCCTGAAACACCTCGATTGTAGTCCTTTGTTTACTTCTGTGAAGTAGTGATGTCACACTCACACCTATTGGTAAGCACTCCAACACATCGTAGGCTAAAGCGTGGGACATCGCGGTTGACATCACAACAGAGCCGGCCAGATAACCAAATAGAGCAGACTAGGCTCTGGTTTCAAACAGAGGGTGAAAAGAGGAGCTGCAGCACAGGCAGAATGAGAAGAAAAAAAAAGAGCTTTTTGAACATTAAACATGTCACAGTAGAGGCAAAGAATAGAGTTATGAAACGTGAAACTGAGCACAATAGGGCCCCTTTAAACAAAGAGTGGCTTCAGGTAGGATATGACTCATCATCCACTTGGAGTTTTTCCTTAGCAAACAGTTGGCTTAGGTGACCTTAATAACGAGTCCCTTCTCAGATATTTTCATTTTGTAACTTCCTTTTCAGCCGTGTATCAAAAACTATGCTTGCCTGAACATCTTCCAAAAGTTATGGTATCATTACCGCCCTGCACTGTATGCATTGTGCACACATTAAGATGTGCCAAGACTGATAACTTTAGCCATTGTGTTTGTTGTAAACACAAAGTACACTGACCTAAACAGACAGTGAGACTATCACCAAGCCCTGGTGAGTCACAGAGGAACATCCCACTGCAGCTGAAAAAGATCCTACCTCCAACTATCACAATTCCCCACAGTCAGAAATGATGTGTGTGGAGTTATTATTGGAAATAGATAAAGTTTCCCCCCCATTGTCAGCCTCTTGTAGGCAGTGGAAAAACAGAGAGCAGTGCTCCATGCCACCCGACCTTTAACAAAAAGTTCCAACTTTTAGTCTTTCTACTTTTCGTGGCATCATGAATCCTCACCTAATCAAACCAAATAACTACGTTAGACTATCCGAGAAGGAAAGGGGAAAGATTTTAAACAAAATCAGCTTCATAGAGTAAGAGTGTCCTCGACTGGGTTTTAGTTGATAAAGTAAACATCCTCCCCTGTCGTAATTCATTTTTCTTACACCGATCTGTTAGGATGGACGAGTGATGATACAACTGAGATTTGTGACAATGGTGTGAACATGAGCAGTAACAGCTCCCCGTTATCGCTATGTCGTCATATTTATCAAGAGGTTCCAGCACTGCAAGGCTATACAATCCAGAAATATTTGAGACCCCCTTGTCTGTTTTTTTAACACGGGAAATGAAACAATACTCAGCATTTTCCCAACCATATCCTGTAAAGATTTGATCCAGTTTCTTTTTTATTTATTGCACCAGTGCAGAAAAACTCATCTTTATTGGTAATGATAATATCTAAGAGGCCATTTGCTTTATTTTTACTTTGATCGAAGCTAACCATGCAATGACTTCTAAAAGTCTGCCACTCGTTAAACCTTTACCGTGCATTCCTCCAGTTAATAAATAATTGTAATGTTAAGATTAGTATAATTTAAAGCATAAAGAAACATGTAAAAGCTGAATGCTAAAGTTTACCCATACATTTTACCCATGAAGTAGTTTTACTAAATTGCCTGACGGTATATTTATCCTCTGTAAAATGGCTTTACTTCCTCAAATAATCTCTAAAAACTGTACTTTCATATCCAAAGAATATGAATGTGAGGAAAAAAGACATTTTGAAACTGACAATTTTTTTTTTTAAACTTACAAGTGATTCTCAAACTTATAATCGACTGTGCTACAGGGGGAACTTTCCCCTCTAAAATCTAAATTAGAAGAAGTAACCGATTGTCCCCCCCTTCTCCTTTTTGTTGCCATGACAACATGGATTACCCACAACACCAGCTGGAAAACTATTTGACAAAGAGGGAAGTCCTTTTCCCGCTCGCACTGTGTGGATCTTTAGGGAGTGTGTCAGAGGAGCCAGCCCAGTGGAAAACTTTACTCCGTTTAACAAGGACTCGAGTGCTGGAGAGGAACATTACAGAAGCTCCGCCCCTCAGTGAAGGCTGTCCCAGACACTGAAGGAACTTACACTATGTAAAGCTTAGGAAGAGGAGAAGAAGAAATACACTACATAAGATCTGTCAGACATCAATCATAAGAGCGAGATACTTTTCATGTGTGTTGTTTTCATACGACTTTGATCGCAGTAATTGTCGAGGAAGCATTCTTTGTGGTTGGTCTAGATTGGTCCCATATGTGATTCTGGATATAACAACCTTGAACTGTGTCGGGGAAACTTTTTGCATTACAGCACCTCTCCTCACACAGTGTTAAAGAAATACTTCACCAACAAAATAACCATTTTGTAAACCCATTACTCCTCTGGTGTTACTTTGAATTCTTTAAGGAACACTCATGCCTCCTCCACAGTGGATGATGAATACAAAATACTGGGCTGCAAACACCCGTTATACAAACTCTCAGACAACTCTTACTGTATAACCCAAGTCTCGTTCAACCATTTGTATGCTCAGTTATCTTAAACACTTGTATTAAAGCTAAAAGCTTACTATTTAAAACATTTGGATGCAATGGTCTGATGGATAGTAAGGTTTAAAGGGGCCCTGTTGTGCTTTTGGAGTTTTACTTCCATTGGACTCCTTCGTTTTCTTTAGTAACATCACTATGGAACACTTCTATTGGCTAACGCTCCTACACATTGTACGTGATAGGCTAAGGGGCGGGACATCTCTAAACCGCTGACCAATCACAACAGAGCCGGCCAGCTAACCAATCAGAGCAGACTGGGCTCTGGTTTCAGACAGAGGGTGAAAAGAGGTGCTGCAGCACAGGCAGTATGAGACAAATAAAGAGCTTTTTGAACATTAAAGCATGGAGACATGTCCCAGTAGAGACACTACATACTGATATGAACCTGAAACGGAGCATCATAGGGCCCCTTTAAATCAGTTCACTCCTACTGCATGAATTGCAACTTCACCACCATCACAATAGTTTGGCGAGTTAATGCCACGTTACTCTTTCCTGTAACATTTTCCCTGTCCTAGCATGGCAGAGCACCACACAAATCCAAGACACACAGAGGACAAACAGCAATTCATCCATCCATTGTTGCCCAATCAGGATCAGTCAGCCCACACAAACCAGCAAGTCTCAGCAGGGCAGGCTGGGTGTGAGGGGGCCTTGAGATCCAGCATAACTTAAACACAGAGCCACTCTGATAACACATTACTCACTCTGCTTGTGTGTTACTGTGCCAGTGTTAATAATATTGTGTTCCCTAAACACAGGGGTGGAAATGTGTCATGTACAAATACTTATTTTGAAGCAAAGCTATTTCAGATAGAGGCCATCTGTGCTTTATCTGAATAAAAAAGCTGATATCGATAAAACACTGCCTATTTAACTTTCTTGTACTCCATTAAATCAAATGTATTATGTTAACATGCTGCAAGTATGCCAACATGTTTTGCATTTGACTTTAATTGAATGTCATTATGTGTTATTCTGTTGTGTGCATATTGTTAAAGCACTTTGCCTGAGTATGAAAAGTGCTATAGAAGAACAATCTTAATTATTATTATTATCATCAATCAGAGAAAAAGCTACTGTAAGCTAACCTGTCAGACAGAATTATTCCTCATTCATCGTTCAGACATGAAGAGGTTTACGTTGAGATTCAATAAAGGTGAGGCACACACCTCCTCTTTCATCCCTTTGATCCATCGGTTGCACAAAACCCAACACTAACAGGAAGTTTCAGCAGTTTGTGTAACACTTACTTATTTTTCCCAATAGTTTCATAGTCTTTCACAATCACATCTATGTAGGCGCTATAGTCCAACGCAATGCCCTTCAGATCAAACTCAAGCACCTGTGAGACAAGATGAGGGATACAGAACATTAGATATCTAATTTAAAGAATTACAATTAGATCTCTGAGAGTAGGGCCTTGGCTTGATTTATTCAAGTCTGTATGGTACAAAAAAACAACAAGACTTGACTCGTCCACATCAGATAATCAGTCAGATAATCTAATGACATGGTCCATACAGTCATATGATGATTGTCGAAGTACGTTGACCATGTGATGCATTTAAAGGGGATTTTCAGGGGATTTCTTGTAATATATCAACTACTCCTGCTTTTCTTATCAGCCAAAGCTAACTCCCAGTAAAATCTAAGTAAAAGGTGTGAAGCATGGATAACAAGTGTGTGTTTGTTTGTGTGTTTTGGAGATTTACCTCGTTCCAGACAGGGTTCAGCTCACTGTCAATCGATTTTGTTTTCTGCTTCTCATCTGAAAACAATACACGCATTGAAAAAAATTGGTCAATCATTGGTTCATGATTTCTCAAGATAAGGAAACATAGGTGAACATCAGAAATCATTTTACCCACTTGTTGGCCTGAGTTAAGTTATTGCCTTCTCTAAACAGGGTTAGCTTTGCAAGCTTTATGTCAATTGTTCATGTCAGTGTGCTGCAGTTAAAGGGAAGGAGGAAAAGAGGAAATATGCCACACCTGGGGCTGATGATGAAGAGGATCTGGGTTTAAACAAAGCAGCTGAGAGCAATAGGGCTGATTGCCAGGAAGTTAGTTTCCTCATTAGGGACGAAATGCCATTCAGTAGCTGAAGGGCCAATTTTCCAAAAATGTTCTAACAAGTCTATCCTCTATACCAAAGCATTCCTCGTCCTGTCACGTGCACTGCAGGTCCAAACCTGGGCCGGGCTTTATGTGGATACAAATGCTGTGACATGTTGGGGGAAATCTTTAGTGATGCAATACAACTTGCTCAATTTGTGTGTTTTATTTTTAATTATACTGCATTCGAATGACCACAATGACACTTCATTCCTTAACTTAAAATAGCAATAGGCTTATTTTGCAACCAGCTATTATACAACTAATGGAAAACTTAAAATAACACTATATTCGTTTGTTTGCATGTATACTGGATTATAAAATAACAGCTAACTATAAAAACCCATAGTGACGTCATACTAGAATAAAGTCTAATCAATTGAGCGACTACAAACTTTACACACTTTACATACTTATTTAAGACCAAATGTTAATCTACAAGTGTTGTCTCTCCATATACAAATTAAACGTCAAAACTTTTCAGAGTGAGCCTTACCTTTAAATATCACAGAGACGATTGGATCAGGTTGTCCCACCTTCTTTTTAGACAGACCTTTCGCCGATTCCACCTTAACCCGCAACATGGCTGCAGACGGGTTGATAACAAAAAGGACTAAATCTGAATGAAAACAAAAGAAAAAGTCTCAGGATTGTCGTGCATCCTCACAGCCCCATCACTGAGCAGACAGGGCGGAGGAAGTTTATGTCCAAGTCTGAGAGCAAGGGGAAATAAGGGCGGGTCACGGGGGAGGAATTAAACCGAGGGAGACTGAGGGAGGCTGGAGAGCTGCTGCTGCCCCCGTGCAGCCGAGAGGAGAAGGCACACACTAACACACAATGAACGTTTACTAGATATATCTGATTGCTTTAAAATCAACAGATTATATAAATAAGGATCTACATTTTGAAAAGTTCTATATTATGGACTTTAAAAACATAGCCTACTAGATGAGGAGCACATCAAATAAATTCCAGCAGCTGAAAATACTGCTGTTTATTTTTAGGGGGGTTAATGTCGTCTGATGTACTCGGTATTGTAATTTGCACTCAAAGAAATCCAGCACTATTTATTGATGCCTCAGCATGTTTAAATATGTTTGCTGTGGCCCCATCTAGTGGCTGTGACACGTACTATCACGTGTATTTGACGTTTACCAGACTTGACAATATCTTATCGCTAGTGCAAGGGATTTGGTGGAACAAAAGAAAATCTAGAAACTAAAAGTTGTGAAATGCAGTGCATTAGCAGTGACGTATTTCTACCTATCCACAGATGCATTGTCTCCTGGAATATGAGCTAATATTACCCTTAATTGCTTTATATCATTGGTTCTTCTCAAGCCATCTGTTGCCTTTCTTTTAATATGTCATATCAAAATAGTTGTCGGAGAAATGTACTAATTGGCAGTATAGAAAAAATGCAGGGATTTGTTTATGTTTTACGTTTAATACATGTTGGTGATTATAGTGGCTGGACTTCTGCTTTTATCAATCTTGAAATGAAAATGATAAAAATATATTTCAGCTTACTATCACCATATTTAAATGAATGCTGATGTGTTCAAAATTATTTTCCTATTAACTTTTGCTCACCTACCTTTGTTCCCAGTCAACCAGTTATTTTGTGTAGTCTAATGTACACCTTTTGTTATTGTTCTTTTTGTAATCTATCACATATATACTCAATTTGTATATTTTTCATGTGTTTGGCAAAAAAAACAAAAAACCAGATTTTTTATTTGATTACTGTGGCATTATTTTCTGCTATCCATTACTGGTCATTGCCTCTTACAGCGGATAAATTAAATAGCTATTTGAGGCAGTTACAGTCCCTCCTACTGCAGGTGTGTGTGGGTCTAATATTAGAGCCGATACAAAGACCTGCCCAGCAGAGTTGAGACTCCACTGGGACTTTGGTCTCTTCATTAAAGTTACTGGGAGGCCACTCCAGCTCCTGCTCATTGAAGTGGGGAGAAGAAGCGCAGTGGGTTGCCTGGCAACAAATAAAACACATTAGTTATAGAAGTCTGTGAGGCGCTAACAACATGACAGACAATCATTGATCACTGCTTTTAATGAAACACTACAGGCAAATATGCTCTGGTTCATTTTGAGTTTGGTCTATTTTGCCTTTATGATATATTTTATATCAGACTTATGGAAATAATACACAAAACGTACACAATAAGGTGTTTATTTGACTATTTGCATCCGCAGATTTATTTCTTAATTCACCAAAAGTTATATTTTGTTCTGATTTATTTGCATATGTTCATAAATCATTCTTGGCCTGATTTATAAGTAATATATTGCTTAAAAAAGGGTGAAAATGTACTTTTTAAATGGCTTTCAAAGTGTTCGATCAGTAAAAAGCATTTACTTTATTAGGTCAACAAAATGAGACAAACCTTTTGAACCGTGCCTTAACCAATTTTCAGATGTTTTGTTTTGAAAAAGTATGCAAGTTCACCAATATTCAGAAGGATAAAGCCCCCTTTGCATATTCAAACTTACATTTTTAGAAAACTTGCGTTACAAAAAAAGAAAGCCCTTATGTAAGTAATGAACTGAAGAATATTTAACACTATTCCTCTGTTGTGTCCCCCCTTTACTCTTAATATATTCTCACAGAACATATAGTGGATACACGATCTGTGCAAAGACATTATCATTTTAGAACAGCTTCTGTGTCCTTGCTACAAGTATAACCCCCCTGGGTACTGACTAACTTTGCTTCTCTAAATGATTACTCCACTGAGGGCTTGTCTGGCGGCTCGGTTGCCCCCAGCGGACTCTTCCAGTTATTTTCGAAACTCTCTTCTCCCCTCGGTCTTCTCACCAGCGATGTGTTGACTCTCCTCTCGCAGCGGTCAGCCTCTTGTGACGGACGGCTTATTGATCCGACGATCTGGACATTCCTCGCCTGTCCGGAGAACAAGAAGCTTTGTTTGAGCAAATCAGGTTTTCCTGAGAAGACAAAAGGGAGGAATGGAAACAAAGACCCTGAGGGGTTTAGACGACCCGGAGCATGGAGAGGATCTCAGACCGGCCTCATGGACTTCTGGGAGCTGCAGGATCTGACTCTGGAGATCATTGAGATTACATTTTGATCTTAAATTCAACGGGAAAAGATGGAGCAGTATCTGGAGCTTTGAAGAGTTTGAAGAGGGAGTATGGACACCTTGAGGAAAAACAAAAATCCATGGAAGCTTTATGAGACAGAAGTGCCACACAGCAGGTTTTGGTGAGTTTTCTTTGGCTTATTCTTATTTATATGATGTTAGAAAATGTAACTGATCACTGTTTATTTAATGTCTTTATCCTGTAACCACACACACACACGCCTGTTTGACCTTTTTTGTATTTGATAGGCTCTGTAATATTCCACAATTATATTATAACATTTCTATATGTTATCTTAATAATATCAAAAATATCTTAAAGTCCAAACTTTCCACCATTTTATGATCTCAAAGCTAAAAAGAAATCTCCATCCTTCCATAACATACAACAAGTTAAGTGAAGTCTTCTATAAAGTTGAACATTTCCATTTTATATGTTTTGGATTCACATATTTTCTCCACTCAGACACAGCTTCACCAACTCATTCAGATTCAACAGCCTTCTAACACTCCTTTTCAGCAAACTTAATACACTTTTATTACTTAATTGTTTTACGGTTCCATTAGCATTAGTGAGTGTGTATAGAGTGTAGACGTGGAAAAAGCCTCACAATGCGTATAGTCGTCTCCCCGAGCAACAGGGCCACACAGGAGCTGCTGCTGGGGGGGGGGGCGACGACGACGACGACGACGACACTTTGATCTTCTGCATTTTTAAACAAATCTCCCCAAACTTAATTATTCCAGATTTTGCAACATTTACCAAGTGCACTCATTAACACCTTATATTCAATTTACACATTTCTTTACTCATTGTAGGCTTCAGTTTAGTGTGGTTCATATAAGACTTTAGAATGTGATTCAAAATATATCTTTGATCAGTAGTGTGTTGTTCCAGTGCTGCATTCATTTGTACAGGGAGCCAGTAACAGACCAGATGTCAGTGACTTGATTTAATAACAGTAACAAGAAGTCAAACCTACTAACATGAACTTAATAACTTACTAACAAGAACTTGGAACATTTTTGTGAGGCTTTACTTGTAGTGATGGACTCAGACCTGAATTTGCAACAGTTATTATTGCAACTAGTACCTGAATAATATATCAAGGATTAAAAGACTAATGTCGCAACAGGATTTAGAAAAACTTGTCCATGCTTTTATTTTTCAGTAGACTGCAATAGTGTATTCACAGGGCTCACTAAAAAATATGCTGATTCAGAACGCTGCTGCTTGAGTTCTCACTGACAGAGAAGTGGATCACATCACTCCGGTTCTGAGATCATTACACTGGCTTCCAGTCTGCCAAAGAATTGATTTTAAATACAGTTTTTAAATCACGAAATGGCTTAGGACCGAGGTATATAGACGACCTGCTCCATCACTATGAAGCATCCAGGAGTCTCAGGTCTTTTGGGTCGGGTCAGCTCTCTGTTCCGAGAATAACCACTAAACATGGAAAAGCAGATTTTAGTTATTATGCCCCAACAATTTGGAACAAACAGCCCAAATCGTGCACGTCCGCTGAAACACTTCCTATTTTTAAATCCAGATTAAAAACGCACCTATTTGCCGCTGCTTTTAATTGAGCTGCCCATACTCACACTACAGTATGCCTTTTTAGTCATGTATTCTGTACCTGCTGTGTTTATTTATTTATTTTATTTCATTAGCTTTTTATGCCTGTTTTTAAATGCCTTTTTAATAATGTATTTATGCTGTATTTGTTCTTAAATGTCTTTTGCTTTTAATCTGTAAAGCACTCTGAATCGCCACGTGCTGAAAAGTGCTATATAAATAAAATTGCCTTGCCTTTACTTTAACTAGTTTAACCAACTGTACACCTGCACACACATGAAGACGTGGTAGAATAAGTGCTTAGATATTTAACTTCAGTAAAACAAAAAATGTCCTGCATTTTGTTGGAATATACTTATTTCCTGTATATTTTAAAGGTGGGCTACGTAGGTAATTCACTTCAGAAACACTTTTTGTTATATTCCATGGAATGGTCTTAACATCCCGATAGCAATGAATATAACATATATTCAATATATATTAATATATGTAAAAAGCACAACCAATCATTTTAGCCGGCTAAAATAACTGGATGGCCTACCTGCCTGTCAGCCTTCCATCGTGCACAAACTTATCTCGTGCCCTCATTGGTCATGTGCGCGTTCGTGTGTGTTGGAGGAGGGGTTCTGTAAGGAAGTCTGAAGGAAGGGGCAGATTTCTTTCGGCTGCGTACTTTCAAATTCTAGTGCACTCGAGCTGGTTTCTCCATTCTTACCTACCCTACCTTGAATGTCCTGTACTTAAAGTACTCATTATTTATTATGAATCCTGTCTAAAAAATAACGTATATTATAGTGAACTATAATTGAGTGGATGTCATTTGTTACATCCCATCATTGATAAGAAGTAATGCATTAAAAAAAGATATCCAGACAAATAATATTTGACCTTTAAATTATAATTTTGCCGCAGTGATCCAGCCTGTGGAGTGAGTCCTCCAGAGAAACTGACCCCCGACCACCTGCAGCTCCTGAGAAATGCATTTACTCGTCAACAAGCTGAGGAACAGACACATGAAGAGAGGCCGAAAGGACGGAGCGTGAGGAGCAGAGGAAGAAATGAAGAGCTGGGAATGAAGTTAGAAAAGTTTCGGGAGGTTATGAGGTCTGTGGTCGGTCCAGATGTTGAGGACTCGTGGGTCGAGAGGTTCTTCAGTGAGGTATAAAAATATCTTATACTGATCAAAAAGACATCATTTAGGAAGACTTCCAGATCATAATGCAGGTCTAACTGTTTAATTCCCAGGTAGATATCAGCTGTTCGGGGCAGGTGAGGTGGCAGCAGCTGTGCTCCTACCTGCTGCTGGAGTTCACTGAGAGAGAGAGAGCCTCCATCCCCAGAGCCGCTCTGCTGGACAAACAGCCGCTGATCAGACTCTGCTCCCACAACAAGGTGCAAGTCCACAGGACACTGAGATCTGGGGAGAAGAGAAGGTGCATCTTTTAGGATGCTTCAATATTTAACAATTACACTGGAAGGCCAGATGGGGGCGCCAACATTAAGGTCACGTTCTTTTTAAAAGGCAAACAGATGCAAAGTAAAACAAATCTCCTTTTTACTTTGATGAAGCGAGCTCGTTTATTACTTCCTGACGCCAACCAAGTTAAATTACTCAATACAGAGAAAAGGAGAAGACGATACCTATAGTTTCAGATTGTGATGTAAAAATCTAAAAACTCATCTCTTTCGACTCCACTTCGAGCAATAAAATGACTAACAAAGCACTTGTATACTAACAAAGGACTGGCTTATCTAAAGCTAGTTGAGTAGCACTTGAAATGTTTTGGCTCTATGAAACCTGATGTACTTAGATTCTGTTTTCTTCAAGGTTGTATCTTCTTGGTCGGACACACCTATTGTAAGTCACATTGGATAAAAGCGTCAGCTAAATGCAATGTAAAGTAATGTAATGTTATACTATGCCATGTTATAATGTGCCACATTTCTTTCAGTCACAAAATTCTCAGAGCTCTAAGTCTACTTTATTTAGAATTCACTGCAACGCTGCAACCTGCGTTTGATATTAGTTACTTTGCATAACACAAAGCTCAGTTCTAATGAGAATGATTTCATTGATTATGTTCCTTCTTTATATGATGTGGGGGATGATCAAGTGTAAGAATGGGTTTATTCGTCCCTCTAGAAATGTCCTTTGTTCTTTGCTCACATGAATCCAGCCCAGGGTGATGAGATCGTACTGGTCCTGTATGAGGAAGAGCTCCTCCTCATTTTCTGTGTCACAATAATCCGGTCCACCAGTCTGCTTTGGTACGATGACGTGGGTCACGGTAAACGCGTTTCTCGTCTGCAGCAAACACACATTTAAAAAAAAGCATCCCGGTCACTCTATTACAACCCTTTGAATTAAGCAGTGCAACTGCCTGCCAAAGAGCTAAATAAGGACACAATTAACAGAGCGCTGAAAGGTTTGCCATTTGAAAAAAGAAGGCATGATCGTAACAAAATATAAGGAGCTTTAAGTTTACCCGATCAGCAAATGATTCATTCAAACTAAAGCCTGAGCAGATGGGGACAGTAAGGGGAGTGTTACATTATGTTTCCCTCTGGGGTGGGAGGTCAGCTGATGTCTCCGTTTCAAAATCTACATTCTTTACACATTAAAAGCATGATAAATATCCATTACAGAAAACCTCCCTTGTATTTAACATGGGAAAAGGGAATTGCTTGTAGTTCCTTATTTAAAGACACAATGAGAAAACATTTCATGAACATCTACCATATACAAGTTGTTGTGCTTCTGTGACAGATTGCAGTCAGTGCTGCTGGTCCCAGCAGTCTTACCAGTTTGCCACACAGGATGCCACAGGTTTCTACAGTTCGGCTCGTGTTGGCCTCGGCCAGCCTCAGAAAGCTCCGGCACAGCTCCGCGGGAACAGCCAACTCCCGAAGGGCATCCACCATTGTATCTGCGAAAACCATGTAGCAGAAAAGACAGAGTTAGATTCATGTGATGTGCTGGGACAAGGCATGGTGTAAGCAGGAAATGAAGAAGGCCAGGGGGAAACAAATCAGCTCAGATGTTTAAGTACTTTAAAGCAGGAGTAGGGCGGTATTTAAATCCTCTGCAAGCCAGACCCCCTATTTTCAGAACAAAATATGAACTCACTGTTGTTACCCGGGCTGACCAGAGTCCCGGGCTTGAGCGCCCTGTCAAAGGTGGGCGGGGCGGGGGCAGGTGGGCCGATGTAGGCGGGGGGGCCGTTGTATTGGTGGTTGGTGCCGCCAGACAGGTCCCCTTGGCTCTGAGGGGCGCTGGGGGAGACCGCCGCGGGACCCTTGATGCCTGGGAGGAGGGGCGTGTTGGGGGAAGGAGCGGCGGGCTGGGCGAACTCCAAGAGCACGCGCTGGCGCTCCTTCTCCAGCTCCTGGCGGCGGATCATCTCCTCGAAGGCACTGAACTGCTCCTGCTCCCGCTGCCGCCGCTGCATCTCCACCACGCGCTCCCGCTCGGCGTCCAGTGCTCGCTGCTTGGACTGTTCCTGCGCCAACGTCTCCTGCTCCGCTTTCTGAACATATAGGAAACATGTTCAAGCACGTTAAAAAGCAGGTGGTCTTTTGCTCTTCTACAACAGAGGTTTGGTTGAACTGTAATTCATGTGAGGTCTTCGCTAATTCTGACAATATGTAATTCTTTGCCAAAAGGGGTCTCTAGATCAGAACAATAACAAAGGAAAGAGTTTTGTGCCGTCATGAAATAGCAAGACTCATTGGAGTTGCGCTATGAAGAATTCTTCATGATAACTTTTTTCTGGTAACTTAAAGGTCCCATGTCATGCTTTTCTGGTTATTACCCATCCCCTTGTGTATTATGTAGCTTTTACTGCATGTAAACGGTCTGCAGTCACAAAACCTGAAAGTACACCCTGTAGCGAGTAAAACTCTAACAAAGAAAAGACGTGTCTATGCTGCCCCAGAACGCCTCGTTGGAGATTTGTCTTTTTCCATTGTTTTCTTCCTGGGTACTGTGATGTGACCATACCCAAATGGACCAATCCGCGGAGCCGTTACGTTCCTCACACTCAATCTTTTCTCAGCTGCAGCTCCGCCAATTTCTCCTCCCTGAGACAGCGGGACGCGGCGACGTTGTGAGTCTGTGTGTGAGCACACGCACAAACTCCCAGCCAGGCTGCAGGTGTGTGTGTGTGTGCTCGGGCTGGTTTCGGGCTGGGTTTCGCTGTCTCGCAGACGGCCACTGGGCTCACAGGGAGGGGGGGGCAGGAGCTCCAACAAGCCGTTTAGGACAGAGAGTGAATACACATACTATACAGAGATGCTGTATGAGAAACCAATGTGAGTTTGGAACATTGAACAATATAAATCTATTCTAGTAGACCTCAACAATGGAATTATGATCAGTAGAAATGGCCATGACATGGGACCTGTAAGATCCAGAGGTTCAGGATGTTTTTACTCGGAGCCTATTTATCCAGAGAGCTCTCATATTCTTAAAAACAATCATACAGATAAGTTAAACCGGTTAAAAAAACACCAAAACAGTTTTTGCATGGCTTATTTTGCTGTTAACTTAATATAGTAACGTCTGGTTGAAATATATATCATATAACCACGAAGAACTGGAAAGTGTATTGGTTAAATTGGATCAAAGGTATAATTTCGAAGAATCTGTTGCCATAATAGGCAAATAAAATGGGCAAATACTTAGCTTAAAATGACATTTCTCCAGGTTTTAAATGTTTGGAAACTTTTTTTACAAAGCTAAACAACCACATATATAACATATATCTAGTCATTTTTAGACATCTTAATACAAAAATGTTACGCATTATACATTAAATATCTCTTTGGATCACTGAATCATTAAATGTGACTATTCAAGGTCGATGCCATTGATTCTCTCCTTTTATTCTGTTAATGAACAAACGCTTCCTTTGATAACAAGGTGAAATGACGCTGCAGATTAGTCTTTCCCCCGAATAAAAGTTTACACAACCCATTGTAAAATCAGTTTACAATGCTTGTCGTATTGTAAATGAGCTTTAGATATTTGTGTTTATTACATGTTTGAGATGGTAATTCATCTTTATTTGTGAGTCATTCATTAAAACAGCAATGACTATCACAGACAGATCCATTTCAGTGTGTCAGCATTTGAAAGTTTACCTTTTTGACAAGATACTGTTCATGCTCTTGTTCAAATCTCCGCAAAAGAGCTTTTTTCAGGATTTCTGCTTGAGGAAAGGCAACGTCCTTTAGTTTCTGTGGAAGAAAGAAAAACAAGGTGTTGCTTCAACATTTCCTTAGAACAGTTCAAATGTCTTATAAAGGAAGGTATGAACAATACAAGTACCTTTAATGTGTCTTTCTTCTCAGGAATGTTAGCGGTTTTGTAATCCCGATGTTTGGGAAGTTTTTCTATAAAGAGACTGGGTAAAAACAAATTGTTGTTATTAACTAGTGATTTTGCCTGCACTGATAATACTTTTTTAAATATTCGATACAAAAGTATTTAAAAATAGGAACAGTGAGACTGCAGTTCCTAAAAATGACTGATTTATAGACTTAATTAATTTGTGCCATATCATGTTCCAAGATCAATACTCCCACTGACCCTCTTTTTCACAGCATAAGTCTCTAATATCTTTCACAATACTTTTTTAGATTTTTTTGGTGTGACTGTGAACGCAACATTTCGGAACTATATCGGAAAAGTACTGAGTTGTGAACGCGCCTAATGAAAGACTATGTGACCTTATCCCAGTGTGGTTTGCGGAGGTCCACATGTAAGGAATAAGATTGATAACACTATAAAAATGTCCCTAAAAGTGTCTGTTTTTAAAAAAAGCTTGACTTTACTAAATGGCTGTTTACTTTATTTTTTAAATGCATTTAATTTGTACAATTTGTATCCCTTTTATATTAGTTTGTTTTGGGGTATTTGGTTAGTGACAGGTATGTTATAGCTTGTAAATGTTTCTTTATAATATATGAGCTCTTTCGTATTCTAAATGCTGATATAATGGTGATATATTTTATAAATACTTCCTGTTAAAGGTGGGGTAGGTCATTCACTTCAGAAACACTTTTTGTTATATTCCATGGAATGCTCTTAACATCCCAACAGCAATGAATACATGAAATTCTTTGACAATAAATACATAACAAAAATTCATCTGTGGAAGCCGTGGCGCTGTAAAAAGCATGATGGCCTACCTGCCTGTCAGCCTTCCATCTGTGCACAAACTTATCTCATGCCCTCATTGGTCATGTGCGTGTTCGTGTGTGTTGGAGGAGGGGCTCTGTAAGGAAGTGGCAGATTTTCTCCGGCTGTGTATTTTCAAAGTCTTGCGCACTCGAGCTGGTTTCTCCAAAATTACCTACCCCACCTTTAAGTGTCTGATTGTGAATTAAATGAATTGAGAAAGATCTTGGTTTAAACTGTCCTGTGCTCCCGGCTTGTTTTTTTTCAACTTTAACCCACACCATCTAATGTATTCATTTCTGTAAACCAACAAATCCATTACAATGACGATCAAAGTATAAATGTATACTATAAGTATGTGTTTAGTGTCCTGTCTGTCTGTAACTTTGTGTGGTAGTGTTACCACTGACAGGTCTCTCTTGAAAATGAGACCTTGTGTCTCAATGAGATTTTACACCTGTATAAATAAAGGCTACAAAAAAATAAAGAAATTAGTGTATGAAACACAATCAAACAAATAATAGCTTATACACACAATGATACAGCCTTATCGCTGTAAACACTCACGTGATATATTTATTGAAAAGGACGAAGGCATGCTCGATGTTGCCTTCCTCTGCGTAGATGTTAGCCATGCGGATCATCTCCATGCCAGAGCGGAAGTAGCGGCGTGGGGGCACGTCGTCATTCACCTCCACCGAGCTTCCCTTCTTGGTGAGAGCGCGGACTCGCTCCTCCGGCTGCAGACTGACGTCGTTGTGGTCCGCCATCCTGACAGCTCAACCTGCAACACTGGGAAGAATAACAGAACATGTAAAACAGCAAGTGGAACCAGCGACTTACACTGAGCTGATAACTTTCTACACTGACATTCAAGAAGTTTTTGCACACCTGTTCTTATTATTGTGATTATTGGTTCAATCATTACTTTAAAAGATTTCTAGATTTGAATAATTTCATAACTAAATGTATTTTCATCGGAATCACAAGAAAATGTGTTTTATACTTTCAGACTTACTGCATACTTAGCTCCATGCAGATACTGTAGTTTCAGTTTTCAGCTAAAATTACATTTAATACCACAATAACATTTCTTTCAAGGAATAATATTGAGATGTTCTTGTTTTTTTTAGGAAACCAGTGCCTTTATTTCACTGACAGTGTTGAAAGGTGAAGAAAGGGGGAACGACACCCCGCAGATGGTCTCCATCCATGGGGACCAAGCCCCTGCACATGGGCCAACTCTACCAACTGAGCTATATGGAAACCCATAATATAAACCGACCCTTTCAGCAGCTGCAGCAAACAACATTATATTTGCCTTGCAGTTTATGTCAAACACTGTGTGATTTGGAAACATTTTCTTCCAGCGACAGCCACCGTGCCCAATGCACAGCATTTTGACAGTTTTCTGGAAAAGGCTCCTTTATAAAGGCTTTGAACTTAATTCTGCTAACCAGGTTAGTTAAATCTGACTTGCTGTATTCCATTTCCTTCTATAGCTGTTTAATCAATTACATTTTAAAATTATTTAACTAATGTTCAATTGGAAGTTAATGCACAATATTTAGAGTGGATTTGACTTCAACATAAAATAAAATGTATTATAATTCACAATTTTACATCTGTAAATCGGATTAAACATACCGTCATTTTGGTTCTTAAATATTGTAAACTTAATATGGCTATGGTGTTATGATTTGAAGTCTTAAGCTTCCTTCCTTGAAAGATGAAACAATATGCTGTATAAACGAGAACAAAGAGGCCTTTCTTCACACCCTGTATTCTGGCCACAACTGGCTGAATAAATCTCGAAAATAAAGCAATGACTCTGGATTGAGGGTCCATGACTTGGGCTTTTCTACTCTGTATTGATCAAATGTGAGGTGCTCCATCCGCATGCTTAATAATAGTGAGGTAGCTTGTATTGATTGTGACATCTTGGCTAGCTGGTACAGAAACACAGGAAGTCAGGAGGGACAAGTTGTTATCAAGAGGTGAGGCTCTAATAAAAAGGGAAAGGTGGAGGTACTTCAAATAGTGTATATACTTTCCTTGAAGTCTACAGAAAATAATATTTTTTTTCCAGCATATTCTACCTCTCTGTTCTATAACAAGAACAATAGTCAGAGGCTGTCAATGTATCACTGTTAATTTGAGTGATGAAAATATTTTTATAAAATACACAAACATATGATGATGAGTACCATTCATTGCTGTATATTTAAACTACCCAACAGTATAAAGTAGTTCATGTGCTCAACTTTTACAACAAAATATGCAACATAAACATTAAGGAAGCAGTAATATTAATGCAAAAACATGATGAATTATAGAAGAAATGATAGGGACCCTTTTACTAGTAAAAATAAGTGTCTAAACTTTATGTATGGACATGTTAAGTGTACTTTAATGTGGTATTTACTCTTATAATATGTTTTTGAAAGCAGGACTAGTGTAGTAGTGTTTTTACAGTGTAGTATTGATATTTTGACTCAAGTAAATGACATACATACTTTCAGAATGTAACCACAGCTTATCACCATACTTCCTGTTTTCATTATCATCTATAGTTTCTTTTTTTTATCATGTCAAGTTCATTTAGTGTCAGAATCCGTTTTAAAGGGTCAGTTTGAGATGAGACACAATGAGAAACGGTAGGCCCTTTTGAATGACACAACATGACTTCCACATTACTTAGAAACCTTGTCTACTCACATGCTGTAGGAGTCATACAGATATGTTTCACCCTCCACTGCTGTTGATATCTAGCTAGCCCTGTCACTGAGGTGTTTCTCAGCGACGTCGCGTTAGCCAAGCTAAATTAGCAAAGCACAGTTCCAGTTTAAAATAGTTATCTTAACCACCGCTGCGCAGCTTCATTCTTACCTGATCGAGCTGTGAATGGAAGCTCAAAGAGACCTACATACACCTCAATCAAAATTCAATTGATGTATTCCTCTCAAGAGAAAATAACTTCAGTGGGCTGCGGCAGCGCCTACTTCTATTGCTGTACTTCCGCAATCAAAACAACTTCCTTCTACTTCTTCTGTGGTTTTACTAGCGGACTACACTTCATCGTTACAAGTGCATGCCGCCACCTGCTGTACGGTTGTGTGTAACTACATGATACCATTTAGAAGTTATAGCCTGAAGATTTCTGCAATGTATTGTCTTTCCTGGTTCACAATTGGACTCTATGGGCTTGCAATTAGCCAAAAAAGCCAAAAGAAAGTAGACCCTCCGTTTTTTAAGAGCACGGATCGAGTATAATTCCTGCCCTTTGCTGGGACGTCTAACATGTGTTTTCTTTGGTTTGGCTTCTTTAGTTTCATTTGATGTCAGAATTCTTTAAATATAATCAAGAGAAAATGAGCAAAATATCCTTTGTTGCACGTCGCGCAGTGTGTACGACTGACAGCGGCTCCGGCGGGGTAATGCGTAATCACTGCGCACATTTCGTTTCCAAATTCAAATGTACTTTTTAAAATCCCATTACGTTCTTTAACATGCAGTAAAACTATTAATCCAAAGAGAGAATTAGGTCAATGTTGTTTGTGTTTTTTTTGTAGTATAAATAAATACACAGTAATTTTGTATTGCCTTCTTTAGTGGTGCAGTCAAGCACACAGGAAGTGCGCCGGATTCTGAGGAAAATATTCGTTGTGGCCAAACGGCGGTACTATACTTCCGTATCAGTCGCTGGGCCTGGAAAGACTTTTCCCCATTGACTAACATTGGGAAAGAGACGTCTGTAAATCGTTGGATAATTTTTTTTTTAAACTACCCAGTATGAACATTTGTATAGCCCTTATTAAAAACATTCGGTCCTCAAGTTGTAAAATGTGCTAATAACGTTATTCTGAGTCATTTTCCTCGGCATTATGAACGCGGATCCAACCCACGGGACCGCGCCGCCCAGCAACGTTCATGTGACGTGTTCAGTACTATGAGTTTTACCTTTACCCATGGATGCACAATAAGAACGGACGTTTCGCGCTCTCAAAAGTTGGGCCATTTTGTCTTCATGCGCCAATGAGCAACTCTCATAGGAATGAACGAGGCCCCGCCTCCCACGCTGTATCCAGTTCATCAGTGACGACGAGTCATAAAACCCGGAAGTGAGTTAGTATTTTACCACTTCCGGTTCCCTCGTCTCAGAGTCAACAGTTTTTGGAACATGTTTTTGGAAAATACAAATAGCTCGAGATAAAGTCTGTGGTTAACACACATGTAAGAGACGGATCACGTGTTGTTCGACGACATTAAATACATCAGCAGTGATTGTTAGCTAGCGATTAGCTAATATTGCTACGCAATGGTTTGTTGCTTTGCTCCGGGTTGCAGCCACAAGTCTTCGCATGGAACTTGCTCGTTCTATCGTTTCCCGACAGATGTTGTCCGAAGGAGAGTCTGGACTCGTGTTATACGGTAAGATAAGAGATACGATAGTACTTTATTGATCCCAATTTGGGAAATGTTTGCGTTGCAGCGGCATAAAAAGTACTGAGCCCGTAAAGGTTCATGGAGAAAAAGAAAAAAAGTCGTTCGCACGATATACTTTCTCGTTTCTCGTTTGCCATGTAGGAAGTGGACTGTGGAGCGTGGGGAGATGGCAGTGCATACATTATATTAGATATATTTCAAGCTCCGACTTCATTTTAGGGACATTTCGGCCAGAGGTGTTGAGCTATTTGTTTAAGCACTGGATTCGAAAATCTGCCGCAGAGAGCTGTGCCTTTTACGCGCCGCCTTCACTGTGTTTACCTTTATTAGAACCGCTGAATAGAGATCGAGGCTGCTACGTTTCTTTCTCTCTCTCTCACACTCACACACACACGATTATTCCGTGTGTGAGAATTACCATGAACAATAATTTACACACATCTGATAAAAATATATCAAATCGGGCAGTTTGATACACATGAGAAATAAGTTTGTTTAATCTTAATGTAGTGCTTGCTTAGTCCTGTCGGGGTGCACTGGAACGAACGCCATGACAGGCTTGTTTGAGACGAGCGAGACCGACGCAGACCTGCGCCATTGCGATCGCCGTCTTGCTAGTGCGTTGCATGATGGTTAGTCATTTTGTCCGACTTGCTCTGGAGACTCGCCTACATGAGACGTTGAAATCTCGCGGGACAAAGATACCCGCAGACTTGAGAGCGAGGCGCGGCGAGGCGGCGCAGTTTCTCTCCACGGGCTGCTCAATGCTTGATGGGAGACGACTCGCTGGTATCTCGAGCTGAGTGCTCATTGGTGGTTTTTACCCCGTGCTGCTGATGAAACTCTCCAATTGGCTCGGCAAAAGTAGTTTGTTGTTTTGTGTCAGTTTTACGTCGCCACTTCCATTCACCTTTTCCCATCATTGTTCCACAATGTTTATCATCATGAAATTAATATCTATATATTTTATACTATATTTGCACTGCTTACCGCTTTCATGCTTTATATATCTTCGGATATTCATACACACTGTTCAAACTGCTCACAGGCTGCTGTGTGTATCTAGTGTATTCACACTGTACCCCTCCTCACTGTTTATTCATCATTCAATTAATTCGATATTTTATTCTGTAGATTGTGTGCATTACTTTTCACTTTACTGCTTTTTGCACTCCTGGTTAGAAGCTAAACTGCATTTCGTTGTCTCGGTACCTGTAATATGTGCAATAACGAT